CTCCCCGATTTGTCGTAAACGACACCAACAAATTCTCAAAATTGAGAGAGTAATTGGAGCTTAAGTTTTGTGAGGAAAAGAAAAAGAAAAATGAGAAAGAGAATGAGAAAGAGGAAGCTTACGAGAGAGAAAGAGAGAGAGGGAGGAAAATGAGGCCAAACATGACCTTTTGGCCACTAAAATGTAGTAATGGTGGGCCCCCCAAAAATAAATATCTTTTTAACTTAAATTTTCCTCTACAAAATTCATATATATACACCACTTATAATACAACTACAAATTAGCATTTAAACAATTTAACTTGTACACAAAATAATTATGTATGGTATGCAACAGACCCATGACATAACAATTCCGGTAGTGGGTCCCACCCGAGACCGTCCGGCTCGAAAAACAGAAAATACCAACATTGCAACCCTTGCATTTCCAAGAGTCCTGAACTCAAAGAAATGGCACATCCAACTCCCAAACACACCCGACACACCCCAAGGTGTCCGGCACGCAAAACGTGAAAAGACGAAAATACCTTCGAAAAATCAGAAAATTTCAGAAAATTAAAAATGGCAAAAATCGAAACATTACAAGTTGTCCACGTTGAAAACTTTAACTCACTACCACCTTTTATCTTTGAATCATTTGATGTCATTTTTAGTCATATTCCTTTATTATACTACTTTTGTACCATATTAGATGTCCACTTCGAAAACTTTAACTCATAAAAATTGTAAGTCAAAATTTTCGAGATAGACATCTAATATGGGACGGAGGTATTAAATATTTGATCCTATATAATAGTTTTCAACCATGAATTTATGATATGATTGGAAAAATAAAACAAGTATAAAAAATATAATTTTTATAGTATATAAAAATAAATAATACATAAATATTAATTATATCTTTTACCATGGTTATATTAGTATTCATATTGTACCCATCTACATATATTCGTGTATTTCTATAATTTACATTTTAATCCCAATTTTTGTTTTTTATTTTTTGAAAAAAAAAAAAAAATTTATACCATACACATGTATTTGTATCACATTATTATTATTATTATTATTTTTTTGGCCAGAAACCTTTTCAAATTATAATGTAAGAGGATATAAAATTTCTGTTATTTTTACTTGGACCTTAACTAGAAAATATTTAACGTACCAATACTACTATGTCACCTGTGGCAATCTTGTGGGCAAGTATGTGTGAGCGTGGGCAGGTATGTGTGAGCCTGTGCAGGTGGCCTCAGTAGGTTATAACACTGGACGAGTTATAGGTACACAATACCACACCGTCTGGGTGTGAATGGGACAAATGATATATGTAAATTCAACATCTTTCTATGACCCAGCGCGTTTTAAAGCAATAATAATCATGAACCCACCAAAATTCCAGAGTTAAGCAACCTAGAGTAGTACTAAGATGGGACCCAGACACTATTGTGTGTGGGTAGGGTGTGGATCGTTACATCACTGATGTCATCAACTATTTATACGTGTCACATAATTTAAAGTATATTTAATTCAGTACTAAATTCTTTTTAATCAATTAATTATTTAAATAAAAAAATTATAAATCAATATTCACTAGAATTAAAGTATTTTTCTAGTTGCCCCTCTCTCTCTCTCTCTCCCTTCGTACATTTTACATCTTTTGTTCGCTATGGTTGAATTTTATCCATTCCTTTCCCTTAAGATTCGTTTGGATACACAAGAGAGAAAAGAAAAGAAAAGATTAGGAAAGAAAGGAAATGATAGCTATAATTTATATTCATATTTGGATTAGGGGTGTTCAAAAAATCCGATAAACCGAAAAACCGGACTGGACAGTACTGAATTGGGTGATTTGGGCTAATTGTATAACGGGTTGGTCCGATCCTAGGTCCAAAATTATAGAACCGTAATTTTTCGGTCCGGTCCTGGTTTAGATTAGGGTCGTGCTGGACCGAACTAGCCTGGACCGAACCGTTACTATGTTATATATATATCATATCCTAAACCTAAATCAAGTAAAGTTTTCACGTGCCCCCTTTCTTTCTTTTGTTCTTTAAATTCCTTAAATTTCTTTTATAAAAAGTCAAATTTCCCTTTTCAAATACATCTTAATTTTTTTTCCTTTCAAATATATTTCAATTTTCTTTCCATTATTTCTTTGTAAAATTATTTTTTTTGTGTGTTTTGTCAATGTCAGTTGATTTTTTTTTTTTTTAACTTTTACCCCTTTATATTAAAATAAAATGAAAAGGAAATTAACTGAAACCGACAAACCGAACCGAACCAAACCGGTTTTTCGCGGTTTGGTTTGGTTCCATGGATATTATGGTTCGGTCTGGTTTCAAAAATAGTGGAACCGTTATAAATGATTTAGTGCCAAAATACTCTCAATCCGGTCCAAACCGGACCATGTGCATCCCTAGTTTGGATAGATAGGAGATAAAAGAAAGGAAAGCATAATATTCTTGTTTGGATAAAACAAATGAGAAAAAAGAAAGAAAAGGATAATAATCAAATTACTATATTACCTTTTTGTATCTAATGTAAATAAAATAACTTATTATTCATTATTTTATATTATTAAATTAAATATCTTACTTAATACTTTTGATTATCATATTAAATATCCAACATGGTTTGATATGAACGATACAGGCTTCGTACTTTTGTTTGGTTGTTTCATGTAGGACATTATTAATCCACAACTATACTTAATTAAGGATTCATTTTTACTAGTTCATGAATACGAATCAAATCAAGGTCTTTAAGACAACTTATTTCATGAAACCAAATAATTTAAAATTTAAACCTCGAGTGTGTGTGACAAATAAACCTATTTTAAAATATATGGTCAGCATAATTGAATTAAATTGTTTCCGTGGGATGCCAAACACGCCATAACACTGCAACAAAGTCAATACATTGATTGGATTATATTAAGCTTAATGGACCACTGGACACACTGTATGGTATCTACATCGCAATCTTTATATGGAAGTACGATGTTAGCTTTATGATTAAAATAATAACTTAATAGAGATAGGAACTTAATTGTAACGACCCTAGCTGATGCCAAGAATTTTACAAAAAAATTCGGCATAACCTCCCTTAAAAATAGGCCTACCATACCCTGTTTAAATTCATTTTTAACCTATCATGGCTCAAATTCCGAATTCACGGCAACAGTATATGATCATACACAATCAAATAACACCGATAATTACTTTAACTAAGATTATCCTTCCCATTCATCAACAAGGTTACATGACAAAGTTTGCAAAATATACATATATACCTTTATACTTTTAGTGCTTTGCAAAAATAATGGGAAATATACAAAAGACACAAAAGTGAGCTTCTAGTATCGCTCAAGCTTGAGGTGGGTTGTCGTTCATCGGTTCTTTTCCAAGACCTGAAAAAAATGTATAAATAGTAGGGTGAGCTATATGCTCAGTAGGTGACACTTAAGACACAAATCTTGTGTCCTTGTGAATTCAAGCAAAGCATAGGCCAATGGGAGATAGGGATCATACAACGTAGGGGATCAAATACAACATACAAGTCAATTCCAAGTATAAACAATGCAATGCAATGAAATGAAATGCAATGCATGTCAATGACACTCCCCATTTTCATTCTCAAAACCATCACTTTCAAACGTTAATACAGCCCGCCCTTTGGTAACCCCGCCGCAACACGAGAGGAGGATTGGCTAGTGTCCCTGACCCTTGGTAACCCCGCGGCGTCATTATGGGGCCCAGCTAGCTCAACCACGCTAAGGCGACTCCCTAGTCCCCTCTAGGCTATATTAACCTCCGGCCCGTTGGTAACCCCGCAGCGACCGGGTTTCGTATAAAACCATTTTATCAAAAACACTTCCCTGAAATTCCCCATATTTATTTCAAGAACAATTTCTCCCATTTCATGCAAACCCAATGGTATGTGCATGTATATATATTCCATACATTCAATGTCATGACATTTAAAATTTTCCATCATAAAATTAAACATTCAACATGTTCAACATCTCCCAAGTAATTATTAACACATTAAGATACAACAAAATACATTTAAGCATATGCATGTATATACATATATGAGCTCAACATCATGAATTGGGAAATTTGGCGCAATTTAAATAAGCATACTCTCATACATCAATTTCAGCATGCTAGCACATAATAAACATAGGAAATCAACAACTAAATATAATTTGCACATGAACCAACCATATTCAAGATCGTGAAAACCCTCTAGACATCATTAATACCATCATAGATATAATTAACTCTAAATTAAGCATATTTAATACAACATGGAGGTAAAATTCACAATAGAACAAGACTAGAGTGGATTAAGATGCCCCTACCTCAAAATAGGCAAAACCCTAGAAATTGGGTCTCTAAATTCGAAGCCCCTAGGAAGACCAAAACTGAAATTGCTTGTATGAGCGCGTAGAGCTCGTCGCGGGCTTTGTTTTGCCTCAAACGATACTTAAAAACACAAAGAAATGAGAGAGCAATCAAGGATTGAAACCTTGAAGTGGAAAAAGGAAAAAGAAAACAGAGAGGAAGGTGGAAGCGGGCAGCTGGGAAAAAGAGAGTGAGATGCAGAAACCAAAAACACAAATGTGGTCTTAATGACCACTTTAAAACAAAATTGTGGGTCCCTCCACTAACACACATATATATAAAAATAAAAATAAAAACTTAAACATTACATTAATCCACTGACTGAAATCCAAAAATTGATTCAAAGACAGCAAAACTCTAACCTAAATGTCGGAGCAAGAGAAGATGCGAAGCCGGCGCTGCAGAAAAGTCGAAGCTGGAGAAGCCACAGACACGAGAGGAGGAGATATAAAAGTGGCGATTCTGATTTGCAGATGCGAGAGAATAGGAGATAGAAAAGCTGCGTCCTAATATTATTGACTTAGGACTTGAATGTAATATAAATTTTGTTAAAGGTTAATTTTGTCTTTAATGAAAAATTTACTTAAAAGCGTTTCCTTTTTCCTCAAATTTTTTCTATTCTCTCCGTCCAAACACACTTAACACTGTCATTCCCTTTCTTTTCTCTCCAAACCCCTCTAAATCCATCAATCCAAACGAAGCCTTAATTAACATGTTGAACGGCTGTGATTTATCCTATCAGCGTCGCATGAGGGTGTACGAACCTAAGAACTGGCCTTTGAACAAATGGAGCATGAAGATTCGGTGGTTTTATTCGCTCCAGAAACCTCTTCACCAACTACCTTACCTGCTATTTGAACAATCCATTTCTTGTCCCCATTTTATCTGCTCCTCTAAACATATACAAACCTCCTCTATATCTATCGGAGACCCACAAAACACCTCCAGTATTTTAAGCTTAATCCAAGATGACAACTTTGCTGAAACCTCTATTTCCTACTCAAAGCTCTTGTCACAATTCTGCCAAACCAAGTCTCTAAGACCCGGACTACAAATCCATACTCACATAACCAAAGTTGGATTATCTGGAGACACGAAGATCCGGAACCATTTGATTCATCTCTACTCAAAGTGTCGAAATTTTGGGTATGCCCGTAAGCTGATCGACGAAAGTTCCGAACCAGATTTGGTTGCTTGGTCTGCTTTGGTATCTGGGTATGCTCAGAATGGGCTCGGCGAAGAAGCCCTTTTGGCTTTCCGTGAAATGCACTCGTTGGGTATTAGGTGTAATAATTTTACTTTCCCAAGTGTGCTTAAGGGTTGCTCGATTGCCAAGGACTTGAATCTTGGGAAGGCAGTTCATGGGATTGTGGTTGTCACTGGGTTTGAGAACGATGTGTTTGTCGCGAATACTTTGGTTGTTATGTATGCAAAATGTGGTGAGTTAGTGAATTCGAGGAGATTGTTTGATGGGATTCCTGAACGGAATGTTGTGTCCTGGAATGCACTGTTTTCTTGTTATGTGCAGAATGATCTTTTTGGAGAAGCAGTGAGTTTGTTTCAAGAAATGGTTTCAGGTGGAATAAAACCAGATGAGTATAGCTTGTCAAGTATATTAAATGCTTGCACAGGGCTGGAGGATATTGATCAGGGAAATATAATCCATGCACATTTGATAAAGCTTGGATATAATTCTGATCCATTCTCGTTAAATGCACTTGTTGACATGTATGCAAAAGTAGGAAGTCTTCAAGATGCAATTGCAGTTTTTGAAGAAACTGCAGAACCTGATATTGTTTCCTGGAATGCTATTATCGCTGGTTGTGTTCTTCATGAATACCATGATTGGGCTTTGGAGTTGTTTGGGCAAATGAAATGGTCACGAATTCGCCCAAATATGTTCACCTTATCAAGTGCTCTGAAAGCTACTTCTGGCTTGAGGCTTCAAGATTTGGGTAGAGAGTTACATTGTAGTTTAATAAGGATGAATATAGAATTAGATCCATTTGTGAGTGTTGGGTTAATTGATATGTATTGCAAGTGTGATTTGATGAAGGATGCGAGGAATGTTTATGATTTGATGCCAGAGAAGGACTTGATTACACTGAATGCTATAATATCTGGATACACACATAATGGGAATGATATGGAAGCTCTTTCCCTTTTTGCTGAGATGTACAATAAAGGAATAGGATTCAATCAGACAACTTTATTTACAGTACTCAACTCTGCAGCTAGCTTGCAAGCTGCCAGTGTTTCTGGACAAATTCATGCACTTGCTGAAAAATCAGGGTTTCAATCTGATATTTATGTTGTAAACAGCCTTATTGATTCATATGGAAAATGCAGTCATGTAGAAGATGCAGCAAAAGTATTTGAAGAATGCCCATTTGGAGACCTGGCTTCTTTTACATCTATGATCACGGCTTATTCTCAGTATGGACAAGGAGAAGAAGCTCTAAAGCTCTATTTGAGAATGCAAGACATGGAGCTCAAGCCAGATCCATTTGTTTGTAGTTCTCTCCTGAATGCTTGTGCAAATCTATCTGCATATGAACAAGGGAAACAAATACATGTTAACATCTTGAAGTTGGGATTCATGTCAGATGTTTTTGCTGGGAATTCTCTTGTCAATATGTATGCCAAATGTGGAAGTATAGATGAGGCCGAGTGTGCTTTCTATGAGATACCTGATAAAGGTATTGTCTCATGGTCTGCAATGATAGGTGGACTTGCTCAACATGGGCATGGAAAAGGGGCCCTCCATTTGTTCAATGAGATGCTTAAACATGGTGTTTCCCCCAACCATGTAACTTTAGTCAGTGTCCTTTGTGCATGTAATCATGCAGGTTTGATAGCTGAAGCAAAACAATATTTTGGAACAATGAAAGACCTATTTGGGATTGAACCAATGCAAGAACATTATACTTGCATGATTGATCTCCTCGGCCGAGCTGGGAAATTGGATGAAGCAATGGATCTTGTAAATAAGATGCCATTTGAAGCCAATGCCTCTGTTTGGGGGGCACTTCTTGGTGCAGCGAGAATTCATAAGAACACTGAGCTAGGCCAACGTGCTGCCAAGATGCTTTTCACTCTTGAACCAGAAAAATCCGGTACCCATGTTCTTCTTGCAAACATTTATGCATCAGCAGGCATGTGGGAAAGTGTCGCAAAGGTAAGAAGACTGATGAAAGACAGCAATGTGAAGAAGGAACCAGGGATGAGCTGGATTGAGGTGAAAGACAAAGTATACACATTTATTGTTGGAGACAGAAGCCATTCTAGAAGTGAGGAGATATATGCAAAGCTTGATGAGCTGAATGACCTGATAAATAAAGCTGGTTATGTTCCCATGGCGGAGATTGATCTCCATGATGTGGAACGGAGTGAAAAGGAGCTTCTTCTTTCCTACCACAGCGAGAGGCTTGCTGTGGCTTTTGGGCTGATTGCTACTCCACCAGGAGCTCCCATTAGGGTGAAGAAGAACCTTCGAGTTTGTGTGGACTGCCATACCGCATTCAAGTTCATTTGTAAAATTGTTTCAAGGGTGATTATTGTTAGAGACATTAATAGATTTCACCATTTCAGGGATGGATCATGTTCTTGTGGGGATTACTGGTAATATTTATTGAGGGTCAGTGCTATTCTTTGTGCTAGAACCATTCTTTGTGTTGACCCATTCTCTAAGTGAAAAGGTGAGACTGCAGACTGCTACATTGGGAATTTGTGATTTCTGTTTCGACACTCATGTTTTTGAAGCTAAGCTTTTCAGAACATGTTCAGGTTGCCAAAGGACATTCGGCACCTTTAAAACAAGTTAAGAGTTTCAGAACATGTGATCCAAAGTGATCAGAAGAGCAGTATATAAACCCCAATATTTCAGATTCTTCTCATCCCCTCAAAATCATATTGCTCAAGGCCATGTTGACTTTTAGGTGAGGAAAATTTGCTTTTAAATTAATTTTTAAGTGTGGAATTAGTACATTATTGTTTTCAAATTTATTTTTCAATTTAATTGCATTGATTTCTGGATATTGAATAATGTGGCTAGATTTTTGTATTTTCAGATTGGCAGGTTTCAGTTCCAAATGGGACTCTTCAATCCTCTTGGACAGAATGCCATAGGCAGACATGGGATATGAAGTTGCACCATTCGTTGTCTGCTAATGATCTTTTAGAGGTCTTTATACTTCCTAGTTCATCTTTCATAGAGTTAATGCAATTCTATATGCCTTCGTCAAGCAATTTTGCTTGTTTTTAATTGGTTTATGCGTTTTCTCATCTAAGATAAATTCATGATACCGTATCTGCGTTTTTTTTTTTTTTTTGGGCGCGGGGGGGGGGGGGGGAGGGGGAGGGGTTTGTTTGTAGCTCTTGTTTTGTTTTAGTAATGTTTACTGAGGGAAAAAATAAACAAATGATCAGTTTCCGGCATGTAAAACTCATCTATTCTCCAGTAGTTCATATAATATGATTTAGGTGGAAACTGACATCATATATAGATTTTGCACTTAATTAACAACTTGTTATTTTATGGTTTAGGAACCTTGCTTAACTGCATTTCAAATTTACAGTATGCATTCAAGCACAAAGGTTAGAAACCTGTGTTGTCATGCTTTATCTTTAGTTGCCAGGTGATCTTTAATCCTCATAATAACTTCATCTATGGCAAAATTGGTTGTACGAGTTTAATGGCCTTGCCCTAGGTGAGGGATACCCCAAAAAAAAATTGGATGGAGTAATATGTCACCCAAGCTTTCACTCCTTGTTTGGAGCACAACACAATATATATATATTAAAGCCTGTGAGTTATTGGGAATCTTGAGTTTGTTTGGAGTACATAGCATTGTTATTGATATGTCAATTGTTAGGGTTTGGATTTACTCGCAAATGCCAAATTTTTATTGCTGTAGGAAAATGTTATATATTATGATGATATTATCACATATGGATATACTAAAAAAGAAATGCCTTGTTTTACTGGTCAAATATAGCACGAATTTAAGGTGTATTTATCCAGAGACAAATGTACTTGTTGATAAATGCCCGCATAAGAGAAGTAATGTGAATGTGATAGAGCTATTGCTGCGTACTTGATTAATAGCTCTATCGTAGTGATGGGGTTGTCATAGTAATGGACCTAACCAATTTCTGCTAGCTATATGAGCAGACCAGTGCTCCCATAGAAGAAAAAGAGAAAAAGTTTTGTCTACTGTGATTTTGTCGAGTGATAATTCACGATGTTAAACAATTTATTTCCAGTTTTTTACTCGGTTTAAGGTAGTCATAGAACGGGATTGTTTATCATCAAAACTTGGAGACTATGTAGGGCTGTCCGTGAGGGCTGCATGTGATTCTGCTAACCCTAGTTCAGTCCCTCAACTTCCTTGGATATCCACAAGCTATGAATACGGTGGCTCAAGCTGGCTGCAAAAGCACGCACCCTCAAAATATTGCCCTTAGCAAAGTTCTAACACTGACGTCTCATTTGGGGAACATTAGAAAACGAGCAGAATAGCTCTAGCCTATTCACAAAGGCAGCAGAAAATTTTGCAGTTCAGTTTTTACTTCTTTCCTATTTTTTGTTTTCCTTGAAGAAACCGCCACCCTTGCACTTGCCTTGTCTCTCTCTCTCTCTCTCTCTCTCTCTCACACACACACACACCCTGACTTTGTCACTTGCTTTGATTCCATTCGCTCAACTGAGTTTGTCTTCATGCCTATCATCTTGTCTTTTCTAGGGAAGGAAGCCAGTATATAACGGATAAGAGTTGAAGGATTTCTGTTTATATTATCTAGAGTTTTTTATTCTTTTTTCTTTTTTCCAATAATTCTGTTTAATTTGACTTGAGAACAGTGTAACATTTTATTTTTGTTTTTATAACTGGGAATAAATTTAAAGTCCGTTAACAAATCCTCAACTTCTAGTAGCTCTTGCATGTAATAACTAATAAGCATATACAGTATTGGCAACCACCATACCAAGTACAACAAAGAACATGTTTTAAGTTATTTTTTCAAATGCTGGGTCTTAAGCGTTCATGATGAAAAATCAGAGACAGATGCTTCAAGAGGGTACTAATCATATAGAGCTTGAACGCCTAGGGTTCTTCTCACAAAACAGCAGGCTGAAATGAGGTGATCCCTGTATTTAATAGGAATCACTAAAATACAAATTCACAACTTCTACAAGGATACGATAACACTATATATCAAGATTCTTTCAGTGATACTAGCAGAAACATCGATTAAATTATGAACTCCGTCATTATTTATAATTGTAAAACAGAGCATAAGCTAGAGCTTTGAGTAGCCACAAAGAAGTTGTTCCTCATTTACAAATACCAGGCATTGCCAATGATCGGCATGGCAATTAAGATAGAAACTGACCCTGTTTTCCTTTCCCACCTCGCCCTTCTTTGTGTTCGCATTTTCTTTAAAGAAGAGAAGCGTCTAAGCTATTTCAAGGATGTGGAAGACGATATTGTGATTACACTTTGTCATCATGGAACCACCATCTGGTCTCCTTAGGAGATCTGCCATTTCTACAGTTCTTTACATAGCGATCGTTATCTTCTGGACGTTGCTGCATACAATGATCAAAACCAATAAAATTGATGCCTCATATGCTTTTAGTTGGAGAACAATCCAAAGAAAAGTATAATGGATAATCCCCAGTACACAAGTTTATGGATCATTTGATTCAAATTCATATCAGGGGATGACATTTACCAAAATAAGGTAATTCTCTTGTTTAGATGTTGCATTAAATAAAAAATATGCCCCAGTACCATTCAGAATGCTGGGAGCATGAACCGATCTGAATGGGGAAATAGAATGTACATAGAAGCTTTTAAATTAAACTGAAACAAACCTTCACTTTTGAACTTGATAGCATTGAAAGGATGCTGATACAGATAGAACTAACAGTCATGGCTGGGGACCAAGAATCGTACAGAATATCTACACAACACAATGAGCAAGTGAATATTAAACTTCAGCTTTCCAAATTGTACAAATGCAAAATGATAGATATATTCAATGGATGCATATGATCATGGTAAAATCTTTATATGATTCATAAAGACCTTTCAACATAATATGATTCTAGCTTAAAATATTCAGTCCCAATAACTGAGGTTTAAAGATAATTTTAGAACAATCAGCCTTACATGTGGCGAACAACCAGATTGGTGGATCTCTCTCTCTCTCTCAATTACTATTTTCAGACACGTGTGCAAGTCAACAGCAAATTCATTCGGGCCATGTCTCTTTAAAGAGGGTTCTCCCCGCCCCCTGCCAATACATATGGCCGACGTTCCATGCTTTAGCCCAGCTCCTTTTTACTTTTTGAAGTTCAGGGCACAGGTTCAGGCAAGCAACTTCATTTTCTCTATCTTACTAATAACAACAAAGGGGTGGGTAATGCACGTCAGATATCGAGTGCAGCGGACAAGTGATTTTATTCTCCCTACCTGAGCTGAGCTAAGTAGAAACAAAAGAGTAAGGCAACATTTAATCCTCAAAAACTGCCCAACTGTCCTTCAGCAAGATCATTGCTACATCAAAAGGAGCATTGTAAAAGTCCCTAGTCAAAAGGTCATTAGGTCTCTATTTGATTTTCTAATTTAGTGAGAGGATGATAATGTAAAGGAACTCTTCTTTCCTTAATTGCCATGGAAAGTTAGGACGGAATGGAAATTTGAGAAGGCAGAAAATTTTTTAGTTTTACACGCCATTTTCTTTTTCCTTTTCCTTATTCCTGATCATCTTTAAAAAGTACTTACTTCTAAACTCATTAAGCAAGAGAAATAATATGAACAAAATATTTTATCCTTTCACAAAATTATGAACTAAAAAAGAAATCCTAGAAATCAGAGTATAGTAGTCCCATCTCTTATAGCAAGGCTTCAGATAGGGAGCATGCGGTCCAGCTCTACCAGCAGTCCCCCACTCCGAAAAAAAATAAAAATAAATAAATAAACTGTGACCATGTAAAAACTGGCCCGTTTTAGACAGCCACGAGGCATTATCCTTTATTCCTTTTCACAATTTTGGCAGTTCCTTGTAGTTTTGTTTTCTTCTTTTTCCCCCGTTTTGCTGAGAAAACAAAACTAATTATTATTTGTAAGTCTCTGTCTGTTTCCATTATGGTTACTGGAGGATTAAAAAAAAAAAAAAAAGAAGAGTGGTAATAGTCCTTTGAAATACATTTGAAACGCCCATTTGAATTGATTTGACAACTAAAACCATCCAGAAACACTCAGATGAAAGTCAAGCGCCCAATGCAGCACAATTCACAAGAACCTTTGTCCAGATTTTATAGCTAACATCATCAGCCACCAGGTAAAAGTCCACTTGAATTGTTTTTTTCTTTTTAAACCTCATTGCACTTTTGCGTCTTTATCTAGCTCAGATAACTGATAAGCGCAATGAGCAGATATTCTTCCCCAGACTGAGCCCTTGATACAAAGAAATGCTGCTGCAATGTTGCTGATAAAGCTAGACCAGTTATGCTAAGTCAGACTTCCTAAGCATGATCCACTTTGTTTCTAGTACATGTACTACAAGTCTGAGACATAATATCTCCAGTGCATGATTTGATATATATCCAATTGCAGCAACAGGATTAGATGATAGGACACTTCCTTGCTAAGCCCTCTAGACCCAAAGCCCGCCTATATTATGTCTACCATCCACTTATATAACAATATAACATCTAGCAAACCATTTAAAATGGTATAATGACATCTACCAGATGTATCTACCAGAGCATGGACCAATCCTGTAGTCTAACCTAACCCAATGGACGGAAGAACTGCTGCTAAGTAATGTAGCTGATGAATTCAGTATTTCCAATCAGTTGCGTTTCTTTCTTCCAATCAGTACTTCTCACCATTGTATTCGGGTATAATTTTATGCTTTCTTGTGTTATAATAGATCTATCTCAGAAACTACACCTCAGCCAATCTCACATTATAAACATGTTTCTTAGTCACTCAACATTTTTGTCTCATAAGGTAAGGCTAGTCAAATGTTTGTTTTATATAAAGTATGTTTCAATTTGAGCTAACATTAATTCAAACAATATACAGAAGTAATCTGCCACTTAATGCATCATGCTTTAATCCTATGAGCAATATCATCTCCAATCTCTCCCTTTGGTGAATAATTGAGTTTAGTAGCATAACTATTCACTTTTTTTGGAATCTCTCCCCTCAAATCTCAAGCTTCACTATTCCCATTTATCTTTGTAATTTTGCTAAAATTATATTCTATATATTTAGTTTTAGTCCCTCTTAGCCTAGACCTTTCTCCCTGGGCCTCACCTCTAATTCAACATTTAATCTAACAATATAAGCAAATAGCATTCATAGTGAAGTCGCATCCTGAACATATCATACTAGTTGATCCACAATTAAGGCAAAAAGAAAAAGACTCAAAAACGAGACATGCTAGTTTATTTTTTCTGTTATATAGCAAAATAAAAAGATTCAGCATGACAAACTTATAAAAAAATACAATGTTTAAACTTGGGATACAAAAGGCATAGGCATGAAGCAACCATTAGAAATTATGTTTAACGTGCAGCACCATCAGAACAAGCTAGAGCTTGGTATTTCCTTATTTGCTAATTTGTAAAGAAAGATATATATATATATATGCTCAAAAATACTGAAAATATGCATCTATGTAACTCAACAGGTAATGCTACAATACGACACTCATTTTGAAAAAAGTGATGCCAAGTCAACAAGAATTTATGAATTTTGATCTGCAATATATATATATTGATCATAAAGAACTGAAGGGAAATAAATGCACCGATGATTAATTTCAAAGGTTATGATATATGCATATACAATACCATTGTCGATAAAACATATTTATACCACATGTTTTGTGATAATTTTAACCCCATATCATTGGAGAAGGCATTAGATCAAAAGGGAATTGAAATAATTCAATTTGTGAAGAAGTGCCCCAAATGTTAGTCGAACAATACAGGAATTCTCTCGTACCAATAATAGAAGTAAAATCAGCATCATCAAGATTACCTAAACAAATATGACCGTTGCTATAAATATGAGGGTGCAGAGGAGCTGGATGCAGAAATATAACCTGTGTTCACCAGTCGATTCAAATCAAATTTAAAATCAGGACAAAACATCATCATCATGACAACTACAAGAGTGAGAAACAATGAAATGAACACAAAATCTGATAAACCCAGTATACCTGTGGAGCTTCCATAGGATAATGCTCCGGAAAATCCACCTGAAGCTGGAAGGTTTCGTTAGCATAGAGAGTTCCTGGAGCTCCATTTACTTCAATTACCCACCTTTATATCGAAAAAAACCATCCCAAAAATAATTATGATTCACAGAAGTATAATTTCATTATTACGATACCCCTCATTTACCCTTTCCAAAAATTGAAAAAAAAAAGGAAGATCCAAAATTCTACCCTCTTTTTGTTTTCCAAATATTTTCTAAGGAACCAAACAAAACAGAACAATAAAAATAAACCCTAGGACTGACCTTTGAAGATTATCGGTGACTTTGTGTTTGAATCCAGCGGGCGGATTGACCTGCCATTCTACTAGTTCTTTCTGGAGTCGATTGCAAGCAATCTTGCTTAGAGCCTAAAGCACAAAACCCAATTTGTTTTTGAACACAAAATCAGAATTGAAGATGAGAAAGAACTGACGAACACAAGGAGATCACTACATAATAGATAAAAAAATAAAATAAAATAAAAAAACAGCAATAATAGCGGATATAAACGCGTGCATATATGCCTATAGGAATATAGAGAGAGAGGAAGACCTTGCGAGAGGTAGAGCTGGTCATGGCTTGGCTCTCTAATAACGGGAGAGATAATGGTTGTGTTTTGACGATACAGACAACAGAAAATTGAACTCCACTCCTTCATGCCCCAAAAGCCCAACAACTCTTTTGTTCTCTCTTGTCCACTACATACATATATATATATATATATATATATTATATTCTGTTTCTTTATCTCCAATTGTTTTACTCGTAGTTTTATTGATTCTTGATTTACCCGTGTCAAGAAAAGAAATAGTAAAAAATTCAATTCTTGTTTTTCTATAAAAATTATAAAAAATTGCACACTTTTTAGAATGAAAATTAATTATGAAACGATCTTTGATAAAAATTTGCACAGATGAAAATTCGCAAACAACGATAACGACCTTAGTAATTGTGGAAAAAAAAAAAAAAAAAAAAAAAAAAAAAAAACAACGAAAGTAATTAAGTGTTATTAGTATGGAGGTGGTATGAAAATTTATTACTGTTCACGTGGAAGTTTTTGTGCAATTAATCTTATTTATTTAGTTCCATTTCACAGTCCTAACAAAATACCTTCAAATTTTGGAACATCTGTTTTTCTTTTTCGTTTTTTATAAAAAATTATAAAGATTGGATTTGAATTCAATCTTACCATTTAACACACTGAGTTATGGAAACCACGTTTATGTGATAATTATTGTTATTGTTTTCAGTATATAACGAATTCATTTTATTTTCTTATTCTAAAAATTATATTGGTATTATGACACCAAAAATAAATTTTAAATTTTTTTTTTTTGGCAAATTTAGAGAGCTAACGCTGTAGCAACTAAATCTTAATTTCGAATAAATAACTCTTTTAAACTAATTCATAATAAATAACTCTTTTAATTGAGTTCATATAATGTCTTTTTGAGAATCAGATAATTGTAAAACTAAATTCAAAGAACAAAAAGTACTTAAAGTGTCCTTAAGAGTATCTAATCTCAACCATTTAAAATATCATTTGATGTTCTTTGAAGTAACTAAAATATGGGCTCTAAAAAGACTAATAATTTTTGCATTCTTTGTTATCATCACAACTCTTTTTCATTTTGCTTTTTTGTTTATATATATATATATAAAGAGAGAGAGAGAGGTGGAATTGCATATTACTTTGTCACGGATTAGTGAAAAAAAAAAATGAAAAACAAAAAAGCATTGTGACAAAGCAATATGCAATTCCACCTATATCAATGTTTTTTTGTTTTTCATTTTTTTTTTTTTTCACTAATCCGTGACAAAGCAATATGCAATTCCACCTAGTTGATCCATGTATCATTTTCTCATCCACCAATTGTTTGCATGATTTGACAAGCAATCTCTATCTTTTTACTACTCGTAGTCATAGCCTCACTATAATCTATTGGTTCTCTTTTCTAAATGCATGCACTTGCTAACTTTTCATTATTTGCTTTTTCATTACATACTCAAAAGCAACTCACTGCAAAACGTGTAAACTGTCTGTAATACATTTTAGTTTAATTCTCTCGCATTAACTTAAATCCTCTTGTTACTTTTTCTCTTTGACATTAAGCCATACTTGAGGTGATGTCTGTAATTTCTTCTCTATTTTTTTTTCTTTATTTTGTTTGTTTCAAAATAATTTTTTATTTTTATTTTTAGGCGTTTGACAGAAATCTAAATCAAAGTCAAGATCAAGCTCATCAAGTCAGTAAAATATCTTCTTAAAAATTAATGGATAAATTATTTTTGTTAAATTTTAATATTTTTTTTCTTTGGTAAATATTTTACATTCCTGCTCAAAAGTCAATTCAACAGTGTTATGGTGATAAAAGTACAAGAAAAAGGTTGAAGTTAAGGATTCAATTCTTATTGCCCCGTCAGAACTAAAAGTTTGTGCCATTGCCACCAGAGAACCAGGGCATACTTCCAGTAAGGCCTTGTCAAAACTGATAACCATGACACCAAATTCTACACATTTGATTCATTTGATGCGAGTTTGTGCGCATGTTTGGGTTCTGATGGGAAAGACTCCATCTCTTCTCTAGTAATGTCTTATTAATCTCTTCTTCTATCCCTTCCATCTATTTTTCTTCCCTCGTACCAAACGAAGCACAAGGGTAAGAAATAATGGCTAGTGAGTCAAAATATGGAAAGAAAAGAAGAGAGTGGTGGGAAGAAAAAGAGGAGGGTATCATCTACAGGACCCCTTGCTTTTATGGCTGCTTTGCCATATTCCAATTCCTTCTTATCCATCCACAACTTTGTAATGCCAATTGGGCAGAGGAGAAAACAAACTTTGTAATTCTTTATGAGCTCACATTTTTCCTCTCCTTTTTTTTAAATACAATCAGTCCAAAACCATTGACGTATCTCCAAGCTTATTCTATTGTAAATTCTCAAAATTCATGATAGTAGCATATAAGATTAGCATATTCTTAACTTAATAAGGATTTTCTCCACAATCTGCCAAACTCATCAAAAATACCAATGTTTCATTGAATATATATAATACAGGGTAAGAGAGAAAAGGTATCTAAGATCTGGAAGAAGAAAAAGGTATTTTTTGCCTTAACTTCTTTCAAAGCATCTTTCTTCGTAAGGGCAACGGAGAGTTTACAATTGAACATTCTTTCCCTAAATAATAGAAAATTGCAGCAGGACACATTGATAAATGCAGGAATATAGATAGATTAAGAGCCAAACAACCTCATCAGTCAATAAGAAGAGAACAATTTCTTTAGTGTAATACAAGTATGACAACCTGTCTTGTATTATTGCTATTTAATGTTCATGAAAACTCAGAAGATGCATGCACTTTCCATACTCTGGGAAAAAGTCGAATGATAAGAAATTCCATTTGGCAAAAAGAGAATAAACTCCAGTAAGGACAGGAGGACTCAAAATAAAAGATGATTTTACCTTTTCTGCAACAGAATAGATCCTCATAGGAACCAGCTGTTTACTTCATTCAGCAGCACCAACTCAGACGGGCTTCTAGAAGATTTTTGCTTGTTTTTGGGATTTGTATTGTATTTGGTCGTCTGTCCCATTTTGGCTGCCGGGCGAATTCTGTGAAGAACCTGAATGTAAATTATATCAAATGAAATCTAATCTTCACTGGACACACTTTTACACCCCTACGGTTCTTGGGTGAAAAATGAAGTAATCCTGTGAAGCTTATAGATACTTGACATAGAACAAAATCGTGACTACAAGCTGTACAAGCAAGCCAAAGGTTAACTGGTTCCTTACTTCATGACTAGAAAAAAAGAAAATGCAGTTGTCTCCCCGGTGTGCAGTGACACCATAAATGAGTTTCAACTGCAACAAGAGTGCTCAGGAGCAAAGATATGATAATTAGAAAAAGGTTCTTTCTCAAAAATATTATTCATACAGTAGCTTAAACATACAATCTGGCGGTAGCAATTTCAACTCCTTTATTGATTGATACATCTGCCTCTTACAAATTTGTTTCTTTTTTTTTCACCATCCCCACAGAATGCTAGAAACTATCCTTTTTCTTCTTTTCCAAAAGACTCCTTCAGAGGTTCCCATCGCAATACCTGACATTTCATCTGGCCACACCTCTGCCACAGACTCTCTCTCCACACTCAATCTATACATATAATATGCCACATAAGAAGTCTTTAGAAAGTAACGAGTCATTATTTAAATTTTTTTAAAAAGGGCCTCTAAATCAAGTTCCTCACCTGAACATCAAAATATGAGGGAAGGGGGAATCACTTTATAAGGGTTGAGTATCCCATTGGGGTCCAGCAACTTCTTGATGGAAGCCATAAGTTGAACCTGTTAAAATGGATTCTGCATATTAGAAACTTGCATAAAGCAACAATATTTCTTGAGAAAAAGAACATTCTAATTTGAGATTCACAATAAGCTAATTACTTCTATAAAGAAAGCTAAAACAATTTATAGTATTAATAAATAAAAATTACCATTAAGAAAGTTGCACGAGAAAGGAAAACAAAACAGACAAGAGTCTTAACCCGCTAGGGCCCAAAGCCCACTTATATCATATTCTACCATCCACTTTTACAACATCTACCTTACCATTTATTAAATTGTTATTTATGAGTATTTACTGGGGAAAAACAAAAACAGATGATCCTCAATATGAAGAAAAAAGAATTCAGAAAAGTCATGTCATAAGAAATCCAAATATGGACAATCCTAAAGTGAAAGAACACCTACATGTCAGCCTGCCAATAATGATATTATCTACCTCCTTTTTCATACCTCATTGCTGTTCGAATATTTCTTATAGTACATTTTACTCAACAGTTTATTTTACTTGTTTAAGGCCTGATAGAACATACTGCATTTGTTAGCTTACAATGTCACCAGATGAATTCCCCATACTTTATCTAGCCAAGACATCAAATTTAAGTTCATCAAAATGTTCATAGCAGGTCCTGCATTCATAAGCATATTCTACACATAAATAGAACCTTCATAAAAAAATTTAACATGACAAACCTTTTTGAAAATAAAATCAATTTATTATGCCATGGTGTCTTTACATTCAAATCAGCTTGGAAGAATTTGCGAAGCCATCAGAACCAAAAAAAAAAAACAGTGGTACAAAATTTGCTGCAATCAAAGTAGGCCTGCAGCTTGTGTTACTACCTGTCTTGCTCTTCAGAATAAAATCCCCTCCTTAACCAATCTTTAGCTGAGGGGTATTTATCTCACTCCTCTATACCATAATTGTTATAGGCTGGGGATAATATAGAGCACCAGTTCTTTGAATATTCATATGCAACTAATGTGTGGAATTTGTTGTATCCTCCTGAGATGAGGTAATTGGGTGGTTCCAGAATGATTTTCTCCTCTGCCATATGGGGTATTTGGAGAAGCAGGTATTTGAATCTTCATCAAGGCATGGCTCCTAATGCTATTCAATTGGCAAGAATGGTGGTTTTTGGAGGTTAGTGAAATTGAGGGATTCATCTTAATGACTTGCACAAATGGATTAATGAATAATTTTCAGAGCTGGTTGTGGTTATGGATTGTTTCTAATCAGTTGCTTTATGCGCAGAGAGTTAGTAATAGGAGTGATGTTCTTGAGTTTTGTAATGCCTTTAATCAGTTGTATAGGAGGATGAAAGTGGATGTGTGTAGTGGGATGTTCTTTCTCCTTCTTTGTGATTTTTTTTTTTTTTTAAAAAAAAAATCATTTCTGGGTTTTGGAAATGGTCTTTTTCAATTTTTGAGTGAAGGTAAGTCCTCTCTTTCTTGTTTTGTGAACTGGTTTTTAGTTGCTCTTCCAAAGTTTCAGTATATGACCATTAGCCCTTCACTTGTATCCAACAGCAACAATACCAAAACACTTCTGGTACACAAAGCTTAGTTGTCTTCTTTTCTTGGCAATGTTAACTATTGTCCCTGAATCACTAAAATCAGATAACTCTTTCATATTTGGACATAAAATAAGAAATTACACAATGACAAAACCTAATGAAATTTCTCTCCATTTAAAATTTTTCCACTGGCAGTTTACCATATAACTAAAAACAAATTGGAGCTCAAAATGACATCATAAAATATTATTCTGTCAAGTGGGAAAAGGGAATCCAATATCATAAATATAGTTTTCATTGTTGAAAGGCTTCCAGAAGTTAGCGGAAGTAACTTCCCAAGGAGGATGCATCATTATGCACACCAAACGATTAGGAATAACATCATAGTTGAGAGACTTACGGTTTCAGGTGACTTGCTGTAGTGAATTTTATTAGCTTTCATCAGTCCAAGGCCATGCTCAGCACTGATACTTCCACGGTGCTTAGATGTCCATTCATAAACAAAGGGTTCAATTTGTGATAAAATCTGCAATGATTCGAAATAAATTAGGAGCCAAATGATTTAGAACAAATTACTCTGGATGAAGCAGGAAAAAGGAAATTACACTATCATTATACTGTGGGGTCGATATATTAAGATGCAAGTTGCTATCGCCAAGGTGACCATACCCCATTACTTTGGCTGCATTACCTAGAAATTGATGACTGAAAGATCAGCGATAGAAAAGTTAAATTAAAGATCATAAATATAGCTCCAGAAGAATTATGCTAGTAAAGACCATGAATATAATTCCACAAGAATTAAGCCAGTCATTGTAAATTTAGAACTGATCATTCTAACGAATAATGGCAGATATATATCTCTATAAAATGTATCCATTATTGTGTTGAGCCCACAACAAAACCTGCGATTATAAACTCCAGTATCCACCCCAAAAATCTCTAATAGAGTGAACAATGAACATCTTACCACTAAACCAAGATGAAACACATAATATAACAAAATACTTTTAGCAAAGATAATGTGGTTACCAAGGCGTACTCGCATTTCCTCGACAATATCATACATCTTCTCAACAGGGATTGATAAATCATATTTGTACACAGCTCCAGCTTTCATTAATGCTTCAGGTATACCCTGAGACCATGTAAATGTAATTCACCAAGGCATATTCTAACAATGCTATCTTATGAAACATGATATAACATTCATTTTTCATACTGAAACTCAAAATTTACATTAAGAATGTACATTTAAAAGTTCTTGTAAGGAAATGCTAAGAATCACAATACTGTTGGAATACATAATCCAGAAACCTGTATTTTCGCTAATTTTCCATATATGAATATTTAGCCTTGTCTTTGAGTCATTGGGTTAGAGTATCTGACAACTCCTATGCTTAAAAACATATGTACACCCAAAACAAATTTCGAGTATACGTAAAATATCATAGACCAAACCCCCTATGAGGTTCTAAAACATTCTGCCACTTTGGTCTCCTTATCCCCCTACCATCCTCCAAAAACTTCAGAAAGTTCTCACTACATCCCATAATCATACTTTCATTTTCCATCTTTAACTTATATAAAATAAAATAAAATAAGTCCATTACCCAGAGTATAATGTGGAGTTCTGGGAGAGAATGACAAGAGTTGGAGTGTCAGACATAATTTTTGCACATAGTAGCAGCTATGAGACAGAATCAACATCCTCACGCTTATCAACCCGAACTTTTACCATTGCACCAAGAGACAACCCCTAAATATGTCTGGGAAATTCATCTCAACCCTTCATGATGTCCTTTCACACCCCAACTCCAAATGCTCATGATTGACAGTCCCTTCCACTTGGTCATATCTCAGTTTAACCACCTTACTCCAGAGAATAGCTTTCTCAACTGTATACCTCCAAAGTCATTTACCCAACAACACTGGATTGAATGATTGAATATTGAGATTCCCTACTTCCCACTTTTAACAAGATCGCACACCGTATACAATTCCTATTACCTCACAAGGAAACCAAAAAAAAAAACTTATATAAAAAACATAAAAAAGATTGAGTTTATCCAGCCTTTTCTGCAATGGAGTCAAGACACGGAATATCGACATAAAATATGTTGGCAGACATAACAACACACATTTATCAGATTCAACCATCCTCAAATAAATAGTCTTTTCCGGCTAGCAAACATCTTTTCGATGCATTCCACCATAAATTCCCAAACTACCAATACTCTACATGATGCTTCAAGAGATAGCCCCTAGTAAGGTGCATAAAGAGCCCTCATCCTAAAACTTAACACTGCTGCCAAACTCTTCACTGCCCACCAACGATCTTGCATAAAAAATTAAATTTTTAGTACAACAGCTTTGAATGATAGAAACATACACTGTCAGCATCATGGGTGCTCGTCACCCTGAAAAAAAAAATGGTTGATAAGAAACTAACAAAGGAACTCCTCTGATAGGTGGTGCAACTTGGGCATGCCAACTCAAGTCCAACACGATTTTTCACTGACTAGCTAAAAATTTCAAACACATTATATATATATATATATATATACACACACACACACACACACACACACATTCATTTTTTTTGTTTTTTGTTGAAGGTTAGGTTGGGATGCACTTTGGATAAAAGGTTTTATACTTTGACAAGCCTGGGTTGGTCTTCAACCCACCCAAGTTGAACCCTTACTTCTGATTGCCTTAACATCAATACTTCTTAAAAAATCACCCTAATACTCTTGAAATGTGACGTTTCTGATTTTCCTATTTTTCCAATTTCGGGGATTTTTCGACTTTTCGGATTATTTATTTTTTTCGTCTCGTTTTGAGTGCCAGAAACAATGAGGTGTGCCGGGTAAGTTTCGAGAGTTGGTTGGAGCATTTCTTCGAGATCAGAACTCTTAGAAATGCATTATAGGCCATGTCGGCATTTTTCAGTTTTTCAGGTTGAGATGTCCCAAGTGGGACCCGCAACCAAATTTGTAGTGCACGAGAATTATTTTTCGGGGCTGCTGCATGTCATACATTAATAATTGATGTATATTTGTGTGACTGTGTTTAAATGTGTGGTTGTGGTGTAATTAGTGTATGCACACATTTATATATATATATAAAGACAAAAGATATTTAAAGTCATTGGGGTCCACCAATGACTAAAGACATTACAAATGACCTTAAGGTCATTAGCTGATCATTTTCCTCTTCTCTCTGTACGCAATTTCCCTCTCTCTGCATTTTCTATTTTTTTCTTTTCTTTTTATTTTTTCCACAAACAAGCCTAGATCTACACTCCGTCTTTGGGAATTTGACTTTGCCATTGAGGGCAAAGTTAATAAGTACGACGAGGGCTTCGATTTGATCAGAGCAAAGTTGAATTTGGGTGACTTTGGTGTATTTTGAAATTTGGACAAAATTGGGGCTTTTTGCATCTAAAGAGGTAGAGTTGTCTAATTGTCGAACTCTTTGAATTCGGTAGTTAATTGTATGTTTTTGTCCCTTTTTATCATGTCAATTTGATGCCTAAATGCATGATTTGATTCTAGGGTTTTTGGTTGATATTTGAGTTGTTGAATAAAGGTGCTTTATGTGATTAGATGACTGTCTTGTGTATAAATTGTTCATGACATACTAATAATTTGTTTTATGATGGATTATGTATCACCTTATATGGTTATTGTGATGTCCTTGGCTAGTTTTATATTAAATGATATTTCAATGCTTAAAGTATGCTATAAATTGTTGATTGATCTTGTTGTGTGATCGTCAAATTTTCAATTATATTATGAAAGCGTGATGATTAATGAATAATTGAATTTGGAGCATTTTATATGCATGGCATGACAGTGTTCACGAGTAAAAGAGGGAAGTGTGGATATGTGAGAGCATGGATGTGATGTGTGGATACACAAGGGTGTGGATGTGATGTGTAGATACACGAGAGTATGGATGTGACGTCTGGACAAGTGAGAGTGTGGGTGTGTCGTAGGGTTGCATTAGGCATTTTAAGCATTGTCTTGTATTGGATGGTATGGTGGTTATTTTGAATATGGAAATGTTGTTTGTGAAACCATCACATGATCCCTTATTCTTTATCCTATTCATTGTATGTAAGGCATGTAATTGCTTACCTTGCTTGAGGAGACGCCACTTAGGCAATCTCTACTGAGTCGTCGTGCTCACTCCTCTACATTTTTCAAGTTATGGGGAAGAGTTGGTGGATGTTGATCCTCCGCTTGCATGGACGGGATTAGGAAGGATTTCCATTTGCCATTTCGTATTGGAAGATGTATTTGTAAAGTTTAGACAATTTTATGTAATGGCCTTATAGTTGTAACTCCGGAAATGTAACCATATTCTTTTGAGACATGTTTAAATCTGCTTTTTTTTGGGACATGTATATATATTGGACTGGACTTCTGCAGTTAAATGAAATTAATTACATTTCCACATTGGAAATAACCGGAATGCCTTAGATGACCTTGGGTTCGGGTAAGGACCCGGTTAGCGATTCGGACCCCAGGTTCGGGTCGTTACATGAAAGCTCTCATCACTATATAAAAAGGGTAGAGAGGGGATTCTTGAACCATAGAGACCGTTAATCAAAATTGAGAATTTGTCGTGATGTATACTTCAATCCAATTCCTCTACTTAAGCCCAAACCAACTTTTTGGCCGGCCACACATATATTTAAGAAAAGAAAAAAAAAAAAAAAAAACTTTAAAGCCATATCCCCCCCTCCCTCCCTCCTCTCTCTCTTTAATTATAGTCAGAGTACTACAGCTTGCATCTGGGTCGGAATTGGCCCTTGAAATCAACTGACTCTGTACAACTCAGACAGGCATTAGCTGATTTATATATCAATTTATTGCCTTTCTTTTCTATTGCATCATTTATCATCTATCTTATCAGCCGAAAGTCAGAAGAATGTGAAATATATGAGTCACTACTCTGGAACTGTATACTGCTTTACGAACATTATAAATTAGCAGTACATGGACTACAATAGAATGAAAGATTATCTGGTTCACATTCAGCTGAAGACAAGTAGTTGTCAAAAAAAAAAAAAGAGGGGCGGGCTTCACTTACAATTATGGGACATACAAATAACAATACCAATGACTGGTGAGGATTCGGATTCATTTGCAGCATTATATACAATGCTGTGCTAAGATCGATCTTGATGAAGAAATTTGTGTGAAACACCATAAATTGGAAATAATATGAAAAGGAAACAATAAGTGATATATTAATTGTTAAAAGGGTAACTGTGGAAAATTAACCATCACTTGATTCCATTATTGTGTTGAAACTGACTAATCCAAAGACTGAAATGGATTTGATTTGGTGTTTCCACAATACGATATTCTTGTCCAAACACTTGAACGACATTAATAGAGATACCTCATTACTAGGGATGTGATTCCTAATAATGAAATACGTATTCCAGAACTCCCATACCTCCATCAAAAGAAGGCTTAAATGTATTCAACAATAGGCATATTTCCAATAGTGATAAACACAAATACAGAAAAAATTATAAAAGGAAGATAAGAACCTCACGTATATGCCAAAATGATGATGCTTGGTTTATGTCTTGTGCGAGAACACCATCTGAGATCAAACCACTCTCCATTGAGCGAAGTAGGAAAGCCTCAAGCTTCTCTCTGGAGAGATGAACATCAAATAGTCAAATCCAAGAAAAAGGGTAGTTCAATAAGACAACATGTACTAAAAAAAATAGCATTATGAAAGAAAGTTTTCTGTTCCTTTCTTTTCTATATACATACATACATACATATATATATATATATATGAGACTGTGGATGGAGCTAATTGACAAAATCATAAAATAAAAATTATTACTCACAATGAAAAAATGGGAAGGGCCCGAAGGGGTTCATTTACACCTAGTGTAAGAGGAAGTTAATTTTAAACAAATCAGAAACTTTGATAAGTTCCGCCATTTGACAATCCAACCACTGGTTTTGAAATTTCATTATTATATTTATCATGCATGCCAAAAATCAAACTGATCGGAAAATTAGAGCTAACTCATTGACATCATGCTCTATATTAGAATTTTATTTTTTATCATTTTATTACGAGAAATATGAGTTCACAGATTGGACACTTATTTTTATCCAATTTTGTTCATATTAGGCCTCCAAGAAAGACTCGAGAAAGGTAAAAAATCTAATGGTTTCATTGACAAAGGATGAATGCTTCATGGAGTTACCAATAGGCCGTGGCTTAGAGGTACAAGGCTCCTACTTCCCAAATGGAGGTCAGGGGTTCGAACCTCAGTGGAGGCAGTGTGTGTGAGTCCCAACAAGGAAAAAAAAAAAAAAAATGCTTCATGGAGTTATTGAGGGGTGTAAGCTGTTTAACTACTCTTACACCAGGTGTAGGTTAATCGTGACCCATGGAAATACAGAATTTTTCATCGCAATAAGAATTAATTCTTGAAGATAAGACATGATTAACAAGCAAGGAGGTTACTTGTCAAAAGCTTCATCGCTGCCTGTTGTCTCAATTAGAACATAGAAGTTGTGCATTGAGGGAGGCAATGGATTCCGAACACCATCTAGATGATGCAGAACCTGTTCCATAAAAATGAGTGAGTATGCTTGAAATCTAGTACAAAATATGTAATAGGACATGTAACTTTTTCCTCAGACAAGCACAAGATAAATTTTCCAGACACTTTCTGAAAATGTTGCCAATAGTGTTTAAATATTTTTAAAATAAATAAATATATATATATATATATATATATATATATATATGTAACAAGTTCTCCATACTGAAACTTCTGTATGACTTTTCTCTTTTCGCTATTCATGTTGCAAAACCTATTCAAAGTGAAGACAGGTAAAATGTAAGAAGTCATCAAATATCAAGTTTTAAAAAACTAATCAATGTTAACATGAGAAAGTCGCTCCAGTCTTAAATGTGCAGGGCAGAGTTGAAAAGTTCTATTACAAAATGCAATAAAATTGACCACCAAAGAAAAAATGGAGACCTGGGCCGAGGATCGGCAAATTTTTGAAAATTACATGGTTTATGCATTTTACTATGTCATGCTTGGAAAACTTTCATGCGATTGTAGTTTTCTCAAAGAGTAGTTAAAGAAACACTCGAATTAGGTCTAAACAATCTTGTGGAAGAGTTTAACTTTTCTTTTTCAATGTCTATTAAAATGTTTTAGAAATTAGAAAAGCATTCAATCTTGTGGGATGGTCAGACCGATAGATGCACCAGTGAGAAAAGGAAGAGTGAACACCAAGTGCCATTCCTCTCTATCTTTGCCATACTTCCTAATAAATCATACGCTTAAATCTATCTACTGCCATACAAAAATGTCTTTAATTATGTTCCCTCATCCTAGCAACATGCTAAACTAGAACCATTTCACTCCTCAATATGCGTTTATAGGACATTCTTGCACAATGACATACCATCTTAATTGATTTTCATTCAACTAGCTCCTAGTTGTTGCTATTTCTTCCATTTTGCAGATATATTCATTTCGTATTACGTTATTTCACCTCATTCTACTCAAAAATCTCAGCATCCATATTCCAATGAGGCACATGAATTAACATTTTCTTCATAGCCTAATTGTTTGAATCATAAAGGATGGTTGATCTATATAACTTTAGAACTCTCTTTCAATTTAAGATGTATAAATCTGTGAAAACTACTCAAACGAACTGTACCAAACAGAGTCCATTATGATTCGATAAGCAACAAGGTGACAACTTTCAAATCTCTTCCTCCATCCCTATTATTTTTTCCCCTGGCAAGTTAAAGATGCTTTATTCAACTTCAAAACGAAATCAACTAATACATTCCATCATTATCTCATCCCTCAACCATTGAGAGAGGTCATTGTCGAAGGTGTTTGTAATGCCCTGCACAGTAGAGCATGGGCAACATGGTTGCACTCACAATGGAAAAACCAACCGAGAAGCCAGTGCTTGCAATAAAAACATGAGCTAGTCTTCCAGCACTGCTGCAAGTTAAGGGCACACCATCTCCTTCCCTGCTGCTTGACAATAAGCTGGGCATCCCCTTCGAAATCCATCTGCGGGTAACTCCATTCAATTACTTGATAATTGGTAGGTATAAAAAATAATTACCCTTTCACATCTCTTAGCATCAATCACAAACACTTCCACTAATTCAATTTTTACCCAAATTTATTTTCCATATATACATTATTAGTTCTTATCTAAAACCTATAGATTATAAAGGATTGCTTCATAATTTTTATAAACTATTCATCCCATGTTTCTACAAATGAATACTTCAACCCCCAAAATAGTGCATATCATGGGACCTGTCATATGTTTTGACTTCTCTAATCAATTTATCGATAATTAATTTAAAAAGATAAAGGATTAACTTCTTATGGCTTTCGGAGGCCCAATATTATTATAATTCTCTTCTTTCTCCTCTAGTTATCCTCAAAGTAGTAGCATTCCATTATGCATATTCTCTATCATGTCCAACACCTACATCTAACTCATTTCTTTAGAACCCAGCATAGCATACCTCTAGGGACCTAGAGTACCAGTCCTTGTGTTAATTAAAAAGCAAATTAGGAGTTGGCTTGTAACCCTTAGGTCTAGAGTTTGAGATTGGTGGAGAGAGGAGAGAGAAGTAAAATCTTGCCGGTACACAACATCTCATCAAATGATCTTGTCACGCCCAATGCACTCACAAATAGATTGCAAAAGACAACTATAATTCCCTGGCCACACCCAAACTGTCCACTAGACGATAATAAGCCTTCTCCTCAGTTTGCATGGACATACGACAAGTACCAATTACAGAGCACCGTTTCTCTGCAAAGTACATACCAGTACTCTCTTCCGGAGAAAGGTCAAAAAGTAGTTTGCAGCAAATGTTCATGATCAATGATAATTGACATGAATCAAAGAAGAAAATATCAGTATCTGGTGTCTAAAAGAGAGAGTTTACCAGGTCCATTGAGTGGCTATCTAAAAATTCGAATGCAGACAGAATTTCTCCAAGCTTCCTCTTGGCTTCCAATAAAAGATTCTGATACACGAGGAAGAAAACAAATAGCTCAATACTATACCATTTTTCAGAACTCACAAGTAATAAGTAGCATGAAATCATAAAGCAGGTCTATAGACATTGACTTTACATCAAAATCCAGTCATTCTAGAAAATGCAGTATTAACATATAGAGTATTTTTAGGGAAAAATATATATTGAACTCTTAAGGATGGAAGTTTTTCAATAAATTATCCTATCAAAGCATTGAGAATAGCTAAAACAAGATAAATATATAATTAACCTACAACTTTAAAATTAGTTACCCTATAAACAAATTTTAATTCTCACAATTTAAAATTATGTGCAGAAAATGGTTGATCTATGCATGATCATGTGTCACTTTTTTTTTTTTTTTTAAGAAATATGGAATTGGAAATAATACATATGTAACAGGCACTATGTGTTTGGCTCACTTCAGAGTGCAACCCTGATCAGATTCCACATACGTGCCTGATTTTCCATCCAAGTGATATGCCTACCCAAGTAGAACTTTAAAGGAAATTTCATTGTGATGGAAACAAAACTGATCCCATACCTGGCAGCTGATATAATCTTTACAAGCAAGAAAAGCTAGATGTACTGAAGACATCTTTGGAGGAGTAAGTATGGAAACCTTGGTCACAATTCCCAAGGACCCTTCACTTCCTAGCAGAGATGAAGTAGGTGCAGAACAATTACATTAAATAATAGTTAATATATTTTACATGATATGGGTATAAGATGTTAAGAACTGGGTCATTCCTTAAAAGGCCAAAAAACAGAAAGGATAAGCATTCACATACCTATGAACAAATGCTTCAAGTCATACCCAGTATTATCTTTACGCAGAGTCCCAAGCATATCAAGCACAGTACCATTTGCTAAAACTGCTTCAATCCCTGAAAGATCAACCTAAATATGCTTCAAAAGAATAAAAATCAATCAAGGTAAAAGACAAAGAATTTAAATATAGATATATATATATATACACATGGCACTCAGATTATAAGACAAGGAATTGGAATTTTACCACCTATATAACATTCAAATTGGAAGATGAGGAATTAACAGCAGCAATAAGAGAGGTATAGTACAGCAATTGACCAGCCGACTATTGTGGTTTTGTGGAGTCTGATCACGTGTTGATTACGTAAAGGATTTGGGAGGTTCAAATTTGTCGATTTGGTTTCTACATTGGCTACTGGCACGTTTGAAGCAGTTCAACTGGAGTGGTTAATTTGGACTTTGGCTACTGCCAAAGTTGAACCGGTTCAAGTGTAGCGTCAACTTTGGGAACTGCCAAAGTTGAACCGGTTCAGGGCACTTGAACCGGTTCAGGGCACTTGAACCGGTTCAAGTGAGGTAGTGAGTTGCAACATGTTTGGGCAACAAAGTTGAACCGGTTCAAGTGAGCTGAACCTCTTACCACAGCTAACAACTCTACACAAATACGATCTCAAGATCGTTCTACTGGCACAACCTCCACAGCTAACAACTCTCCACAAATAGGATCTCAAAGAAGTGGAGAGATCCTTGAGATATTTGAGTACAGAGCTCTTTATTTGACTTACCAACTCCAAGCCCAAATGCATGTATTCCAAAGGTCATACTGAATAACTGATAACTGAACCTTTGAGCCTTTAGGAATATAGAATAATCTTCCTTATTGGTTTTGGACTCTACAAAAGGCAAGTTCTTGTAGGACAAGTTGTGTTCCATTGTCTGGGACTATATATATCAACCTTAATCATATTTTAGGGCGTGTGAGATGACTTGAAGAGAGGATTATCATACGTGTTGTATGATTAATTAATTTGTGACAACACAAGAGAGAGCAATTGAGAGAGATTGAGAGAAAATTCTCCATTGTAATTCTTCATCTTTTTCATAGTGGAATTTGTTCGGTGCGCTCTATGGACATAGCCCTAAGATTTGGGTGAACCATGTATATCTTGTGTTCTTGTGTGTGATTTTTTTTCTATTCTTTGTCATTGCTTGTGTTTATTCCTTGAACATCGTTGTTTCTTGCATTTCCGTCACAACAACTGGTATTAGAGCATCTGGTTGATTGTGCAGCAACTCCAACGACCTAGAGGTCATCAATATAGGTTGGCTTTTAACACCTACAATTAAGCTATTCCATCAACACTTTTGAACATTTGACCCATATCAATTGAGGTGTTGAAGGTCAAGCTCATACCACTTTAACTTATTTGACACCCGGGTTAATAGAAATCAAGTGTTTAAAAAATGAGATGGGATCCAGAAGTTAAAAAAATATTTTCATCCTCAAGACGCATTTGAAAGAAGCTATAAATGAGATTATCTATGTTTGTACTGTAACTCTGCATCCTCAAGACACATTTTCAGCTTCTTTCAAATTCACTAAAAAAGGAAAAGCAACAGAACTTTCCAGACCTATGCTACGTAATTGGTAACATGGCTCCCTTGCTACTAACCCAAACCCTTGCATAACCCAATGCACCCGCAATAACATGGCTCCCTTGCTCCTTAACTCCGTAGCACTTGCAAAAGCAATAATTGAGAACATTTCTGCTTGCGACCAAATTATAAATGATCGAAATTTTCTCTGAAGCCCAAAAAAGTGATGGCAATTCAGTATGGCGAACGCTTCAAAAGAAACTGGGAAGTACGCCCAGCGAACAAAATCACCTCAATTTTACCTCTTATTTTGCAAACCATAGCGTCCTTACTATCTCCAAAATTGAAATGCCAAACAGTACTTAAGTCATTCATTGATTCCGACTCCAAATAGCATTACACACATTCCAAAGATACGAATCATCTATACAAAGCATGCTACACAAGCATCTGTCCTCATGAGTTCCGATCCACCATGCTGGAAGTACATAACTAAATGTGTTGTGTGGATATGAGAGAACAAACAATTCTCATCTTCCACTCTTTTCATAACATATGGACATTTCATATAAACAATGCCCGTCAATATGTTACACTGTAACCGTTCTTTCCCTTATCTGAATCTAAAGAGTTGCTGCAATAGAACTTGACGCGCTTTTTACCTTCATCACAGATATTGCATGCTTAAAAGGCTCAAACTAGAGCAAATATCACACACACAAAAAATCAATGAAAATTTAGGACAGAAATGTGACTACATCACATTAAATAGATCAGAACAAGAGAAATTCTCACCAAGTACATTCCCATGAAGTGATCCATAACGGACCAAGCGCAAACCACCAGCGTTAGTTGAGACATTTCCACCAATTTGGCAGCTTCCTTTTGCACCCAAGTCAAGGGGCATAATGAATCTGATAAGAAGAATAATTTTATTTAAATATCAAAAAAGTGTATTGTTAAATTTCTTTGCAATATTATTAAAATTGGAAGGAAGCTGTCACAGAAATACGAATACCTAAACCTATTCAGAAATACACCTGTAATTTAAATCAAACAAAAATCTGAGGGAAGTATTCAATGTCTCACATATTAATGTAAAAGATGATTTCAACAGATGCTGTGTTTTTAAAAATAAGGTTCTCCTTTTCCTTCTTTTTGGTAAAAGAAAAATGAAATAAATAAGAGAAAATCACACAAGTACAAGCTGTGAGGCATGACAACCCCTTTTAAATCTCAATCAATAGAGCCCCTTAATTGAATGGTGGAAAGCTCCAAAAGTGGCTGTTTCAATAGGTAAGCCATATTAAGAGCCCTGTTTTTCACTTTAATTTTAAACATGAAAAAAGGTTAGGGTCAAGTAAGTGTATAATTCATATTGAGATAATATATGACAATTAAAATGCCAAAATGAGTTGCTTGAATGATTAACGATAAATATAAGAATAGTTCGATAACAGCAATTCAAACAGTTGAATTATATAAGTTGATGAAATTTCCAATATTAAACTAGTTTGGTGACGTCCTGAATTTTTTTTTTATTCAATCATTCCTAACTGGCATGAGCATATCCCAAGTCACAACCTCAATACAAAATTAAAATACTAGAATACTCGAGGCAGGTCAGGGATATATCAGAGCTGAGAGCGCAAAAACCATAATAGCAAAAGGGCATTATCACTCTCGTTTAAAAATAAAAAAATAAATTGATCAAAGTAAAAAAAAAAAAAATCAAGGACTATTTATACATTTTAGTTTATTCCATTTACTTTTAATATTATTATTATTGAGTTTTTTTTTTTTGGAGGGGGGGGGGGGGTTAAGACACGCACTCCATAATTGGCCCATTTGGGGTTTAAACCCTCCTCAACCTTCCATTTCGAAGGAGGAGGAGGAGGCACTTGGGCTAAGCCCTTGGTGGTCATCTATGTATACAAACTTTGGTATTATGTGTGTGTGTAATTAGTTCTTGAGTTGGAGGAGTTGTGCTACACAAAATGGGGGACACATTGAGTGCTCTATATTGAGATGAGAGGACGGAAACCTGATGCTGTATGTGGAGTGATTTACAAGGGAAGGTGCTGACGTTTGTATGCAGCACCTTGCTTCCAAGCCTTGGGAAAGAGAAGTCTGAGGGTTAGAGTAGGCCAACCACTTATTCAAGTTCTTTTGACCCTAAGTATGGTGCTTCACATATGCCACATGCTCAGCTCTGTTATGAGTACACTGCAAAGCAGCGAACCCAGATTAACTAAAACTTGCTAAGCTGTTGGCAGTAGATGGGCAAACCAAACAGCTGGAGCATTCACAAGCCTGACCTCCATAGAACGCAAGTTCAATACCTGAAAGATGACAACAATTGCAGGATTCAGAGCATCTCCTTACCCCTTATCTAAGCTGAAGAGGCAGGTAGCATCCACGTGAACCTGCATTCAGAGAGCATGTCCCTGTTTGCATTTTTAAGACCATTTAACTCTAGAGAAACATTCTCTAGACTTGGCTCAAGGTTTGGTACTCTCTAGAAAAACATTCTCCAATCTCGAATTTCTAACTGTCTCAAAACATGACTTTTATATTGACTCTCCATGAAGCCTCGTATAATAATCCCACAGTACTCACCACAACGGCACCAATTTCCTTGAAACTCCAAATATATCAACTCTAAAATCAGAGGACATAGTATCAAGTACCAATACCTTGGACTTCAATAAATGGGCTCAAGAGAAAGAAAATCAACACCATCAAGCACCCTAAGGCCAAGCCCACATGTCACCGGCTCCAGCTGCAGAGTAAACCCTCATGATTCACTTGAAAAGGGGCATTCTATAGCTGAGCCAAACACTTTTTGGCTGTACAGTAACATGTTCCACAATGTTGGACTGCCCAATTCCCTAGCCTCATTGTCAGATTTCTCCGTGAAGTCTCCATCTTCCTTTGCTTCATCCAACAGAATTGTCATAACACACATTGCATCCTAGCATCTCATGCACTGCCTGGGTTGGGAGGACCAATGGGACTACAGGACTAGAGATGTCAACGGGGCGGGGGCACCCTTTTCCCAAACCCATCCCACCAATGCAAATCTTTTCCCAAACCCAATTCGGGTGCCCCGCATCGGGGTCGGGACGAGCCAATATACATACTTTTAAGAAAAATAATTCAAACTAGAATCAATTTAAGATAAATTTTGTAAATTTTTGTAGTTTAGTAAAATATTTAGCAATCATAATAACAACGATTAGTTTAATAACAATCATATTTAGCAACGTTGTTAAAATTTAAACCATAAAAAATAGAGGAAAAAGAAAAATTATAGTTAATAAGATAATATTTATTTATATATTAATTATTAATCGGGGCGGGTTCGGGGCTTTACAGGTTTCAAACTCTCTTCCCAAACCCGCCCCTAACCTGATTAGGATGATCCCAAACCCGTCCCATTAGGGCGAGACGGGGCAGGTTAAATTGGCATCCCTATGCAGAACTCAATACACTGCTATGGAGTGAACCAGATACAGTTACACTTGGGATCCTCAAAAGTACCTTACTTGGTGTCTAAAGCCTAAAGTTTGACAAAGCCCCCTTGCCGCCTTCATCTCAGCCTAACTTAAAAAGGAGATATCATGCAACCTATGAAAAGTAAAAATAGCCAGCAACTAATAGGACCACCAAGAGGTTCTTTGGTTATTTCATTATTGCTTTCCTCTCCCTCTCTCATATGATAGCCTTAACTAGTCAACTTCCACCTAATCCACTCGTTGCCTCTTATCATCTCATGTGTAACACATCCACTGCCCCTCACCTACAAGGACCCAAAGAAAGAAAGGGGGAGGGATGCATATAACTTACAAATTGCATTCTAGTTGTAATTAATGAAATAATCATGTTACCCTCATACGCTTCCAAATAACATAGTCCCCTGATACAAAGAAAGTAAAGGTGTCAGAGAAAATTACCCTTGGTTATCCAGGAAAGAAACCAGGTTTTCCAATATGCATCCTGCTTCACATACCAGTACACCACTGACCTAAGAATAGCATGAGTTAATTACTTCATAGATATCAGTGCATTTATGTTTGAGTAGAATATGTTATATAACTTTGAGAAAATCTGTAACACGAAACTGAAAATTTATTGCAGTGAATTTTCCAAAAGAGCTACCAACTGTTGGGCATAACAAAGCCCAAGGATCAAACTAAGAAGAATGAGTGGTATCAAAAAAATAATAATAATAAAAATAAAAATAAGAATCTCCACTCAGTTATAACTTATAAGCTTGTTACACAATCCACAGCCAAAATCCTAGGAGAAAAATGTCTCTGATTAATGAACAGATAGTTGTATAAAATTAAATAAGCCTAAAATAGATACCATTAGAGTAAAACTTCTACCTTGTCAAAAGAAATGACGTTATTCATGCTGCCCATATTGATAATCACCTGCAGAGACATTTAGATATAAGATAGAATTATAAGAATCCCATATCTATAAGAATCATTCTTGCAAGATTTTTTGTAGTGTATATCAATGCTCACATGTCTATCCACAAGTATTCATTCTAATATATACAACTGTCAGGTCTTGGATGCAAACAATTCATTGAGGCGGGGTATGTGAGTACCAACTAGGAAAATATATATATACAAACACTGAAAATATGTCCAAAAGGCCCTGCTCAACCCAATCAACCAGAAACGCGGGCAGACTAAGGCATGATTGGTATCAGTTTGGCTGAGGTTACGCTCATATTTTAGGCATATGCCAGCTCAATCTCTTTTCACATGCAGCCCAACTATAGTTCATGTTATATAATATGTATAGTGTCTCATGTTGCCATGACTGAATTAACTCAATTGAGGAAAATATCTGATTTTCAATGAAGCCCTAAGTTCAAATCCTAATTTTAACTTGTATTTTTATTTTTATTTTTATTAATTGGTACTCACTCACACACACATGCCTCCACCGAGGCTCGAACCCTTGACCTCCCTTTGGGAAGTAGGAGCCTAGTACCACTAGGCCACTGGCCTGTTGGTAACTTGTATTTTATATTACATTGAAATTCGAATAAACAATTATATGGGATATATGTTCCAACAGCCAAAACTCAACTTGCACTCTGCCATATGAAGTAATGTGTGGCTTCATCTCATGCCCTCTAAAAACTTCACTACATGATCCACTTGTAAAATTTTTATATGTAGCTCATGAAATTGGAGATAATTTGGCAATGACTATGTTATTTTTTTCATGTATCAGCTTCAAAGTTGAATAATTAGAGATAATTTTGCTCAAATCATTAAAGTGTAAACTCTAATATCAATTTCCACATGTGCCAACGAGCACGGGACCAATATCAGGTTACTCTTCCCATGTTTAAAACACAAATGAATTGCAGAATTTTTCCTAAAGTTCCTGCAGTAAATCATAGATTTTAAAAAATTGTGAGTAATGTCTCTGTCCTCTGCAGCACATGTAATACAAATGAATCCGTCTTACTAATTCGTGAGTAATGCTCCAATGTTCTAAAATATATCTAACACAAATAATGCTCTTCTGTAAAGGAGTAACAAGTCAAATCAGCACCACTAGCAACAACCGACATGCAACAGAAGGTTAGAGAAAATAATTGATCACTGGGCTAACAACCATATTACCTCATCAAAAACAGGCACACTTCCCCCTACAAGACCTGTATTTCCACCTTGAGGAACAACAGCAAGGCATCTGGAATTACAGTATTTAATAATCTCTGAAACCTGCAAAAGAAAATAAGCATCAACAATAAGAATGACAAACAAACTGAATATGTTAAGCAGTCAGCCCTCAGCAGAACCATTTGAAAAAGAGAAATGAAGGTCGATGTCCAGAAAAATCAAGAAGTCCCATTGCATTTGATATAAAATTCAAATGAAGAAGCTCGTCACAATGAATGAAGGCAAATGAATTGGTAACTTCTCATAGATACTGGTATGAAACTGACTAATGTTATCTCAAATAACTGACTAATGTTATCTCAAATAACCTAAAAAATTCGAATTTCATCAGTTCCAGTGATGGCTCCTGCTTTCTTTAATGGCCTTAATCAGAATTATGGTTTAATTCAATCAAACATCACGTAAAACACAATGAAGTCATTCAATTCCCAATGACGTTCAAAAATGAACTCTGAACTGTTAAATTGTTAACATGCCTTACAATTTGTGAATTAAATGCAATGAGAAATGTTATTTTGCGGCCCGAATGTTGTTCCAAACTGGGTCGCATTTTGACCCGAAAATGGGCTTTGTCTGGGCCAGCCCATTTTTTTGGCTTGTGGGTCGTGTACCCTGTCACACTGTTTAGTATTCTCTTGTAGCCCAATATATAATGGCGTTTAGGATTTGGAATGGGATAATGATAGAACACTGAAAATCGCAGAAAGAGAGTGAGAGTGAGAGCGAGAACCAGGGTTCAGGAGCTGAAACTTGTAATTTCCTGTCTTTCGCATAGTAAACATAGACGCAGGCTTAGACTTGAGCTGAACCACGTAAATCTTTGTATTCTTTGTGTGTGGCGTGTTTACTTTTTTGTCATGATTCTTGTTTTGTTCTTGGTTCACTATTTGTTGTAACAAGATATCTTACAAGTTTTTCACAATAAAAATATTTTAAAAAATAAGGATATTGTTCGTAAAAGAATTGCGGTGTATTATTTTCATGAAGCTAAGATATGCATAACATAAACAAACAACAATTGGGAAATTAAACACCAAAGATGCCAATGAGCCTGATATTTAACTCTGTTGAACTTATTGCAGAGGGTCAAGTTCAAAACCATCTTTAGCCAATGGATAAGGGTTATTTTGGGTATAATTTATTTCAAGTGTATAACTGAGAGAGAGAGATGGATGGATGGATGGATATTAGGACTACCTTGTTACCCAAAATGTAGGATTGGTACACTCCAAATGGCATGAGGCCTTTTGGGGTAAAACCCAAGAAGGTTCGGGCCCAAAGCGGACAATATCATACCATGTGATGGAGTGGGTCATTACACAAAATGAATTAACTCAAGTCCAATTTGAAAAGAGCAGAGTAAGTGTATGGACATTCCTTCTAACCCCAACAGCCCAGTACTTCCCAAAAAAAACACAGATATCAGACAAAAGAAAGAATTAGAAGGAAACATTTATTTTGAAGTTTCATGTTCATACAAATGATGTAGGCTCTACTTTTGAAAACTTGTATCTCAAGGGTCTGGAGCCAGATAGGAATTGGGACTCTTAAAACTATCTAACAATAAATAGGTGTTGAACGGTAAGTGGCTAGAATTATGAAAGAAATATATATATATATACACACGGATAAGAGAAAGAAGATGTGAACCTCCTCAGTGCTCCTAGGTTGGAGCAGAAGCTTACTTGAGCCTTCATATTTCCGCATCCAATCCATATTTGCAGCAAGCAGCCTCTCTTCATCCCGAATTACATTTTTCTCCCCTAGTATCTTTTCAAAATGGCTGATGTCATCGGAATTTATGGTCGAAAACAAGGGGTTCCTCTGATTTTTGGTGGCCAAGGAACCCAAATATCGATTATGGATTCTGCAAAAGTTCCCAAGACATTTTTGCTTTGGAGTCTGAAGAAGGTCAATGTAGTTTCTCAAGGGATAGGCATATGACTGAAGATTCCTCTTATGATATACAAGAAATGGTTTTGATGGTTCCCAAACTCTACAAAAATGATACGTAAAACCTGTAATTGGAAAACCCAAAAAAATAGGGTACAAATACAAGACAAATCAAATCAGTTTAGCATCTTCTTCAAGAATTATCATAAATATGTAGTTTGAGTGATTTAAGTGTTACTCTTGTAAATTACTCTTGCTAAGTAATGAACATGCCATTGATAATCAAGAATGTTACAGAAACCATCAATGCATTGGAATGTTTTCATGAATATCCATATATTCACATACAAAGTATCCTTATTGTGGTGTGTTTGTGTTCATATGAGTGTTGATCAGAAAGAATCAGAACACCAATTTATGCCATATTAGTACCAAGACTAAATGTCATTCTTCCAATGAACAGTACCTCTGCAATTAATTTATAAGCACCAATGGAGTAACAAGCTTTTTACCCACAAAAATTAATAATAATAACCTAATCAAGTACAGCCGTATAAAAAACAATTAAAAAAATATAAAATATGAAAGAGAGAGAAGAAATTCTCAAGCACATGCAGAATCAAAACTTCATCTTTCCCAGGTGAGTTTACTTGATCGGGGGAGGTATCAAATTGTGGAAACAAGTTTGTGATCCCATCATTACGGTTCTTTAATTAGCGAGGGACCATTAGAAGAGAGACAAAGGAAAGAAAGAAAGAAAGAATGTAATCCAACAGCATTGTAAGTATGTGACTGACTTGAACCCAAAGAATTGTTCTACTTCAAATTTTCAATTCTTTTCTCATGTTTTATCTGCAACAGAGTGAAACGCTGTTCTAATGAATTCCTCAGAAAATTACGAATTACAAAATCGATAATTAAATCAAAATAAAACTGTACAGCACTTGTGATCGAAAGGTAATATATGAGTGTGTATTGGTGTGTGTATGTATCCATGAATATGTACATATATAATGGTACCTGAAATGGGTAAGTAGTTCGAATTCTCAAAATTAGGGTTCAATCGACGATCAAATAGTTTGTTGGAGTGCTTGAGTAGACGATGTGTTGTTGATCTCCACTTCTCCATTTTCCTTTTTTTAGTACATGCATAACATTTGCTGCTTGGTACAATCGTCTATTTGAAATGATAAATGAAGGCATCGAAAGGGATTATCAAATTACCATTGCACCCTTCGGCCTCAACTCACGCATTCGGCCGCCTTAAAATCGGATCTTACGAGGACCGCGTTTGGACTTCCGAACCAGAAAATAAATCCACTTACCTTACAATTTTATTACGGTTGGGACTGATTTGAGAAGGACGCTCCTTATTCTAAATCAATTCTACCCATAAAAATAAAAGGGTAAAGTATAACGAGTTTGAGTCATCTTCCACGTCTAATTTTGTTAAATAAATTTAAGATATATTTTTTTAGAAAAAAAAAAAAAAAAAAACCATAAACCTAACCATATAATTAAAAATTATATTTTAAATTTCTTACTTTTATAGTGGGCAATATGAAAGATAATAAAAACTAATGAAAATAAGCAAATATATATATATATATATAGAATAATTATATTACATATATTTTTAACTAATTGGGGTGGCTAAGATTGACATCCCAAAGAGTAAGTTGCTCTCATTGTCTTTGTCATTAGTTACAATAGGAGTGTAATTCAGGAACCTTAACACAAACCATCCCATACTATTACACCCAAATTAATTTGAATGTAAAGCCCAATCTAACAGCCTGGATTTAATCCCAGATTCCTACCGCACATAACTTTATTATTATTATTAACAAGAAACGCACTCACACACTCACAATGCACTTATGAAAACTTGAACTTTTGACCTGACATGTGAGAATACCATTGTCAATTTAATAGTTAATTGCTAAACTTATTTTATAAACTCTTACTTTGAATGGATTATATAAGAAAGAGAGAGAGATTATTGGGGGTTTATTTGCTAACTTTGGCTACTTAATAATTTGAGACATAATAATTCTTAATCATAGATCGAATGTTTATTCCTCCATCCCATATTAGTAGTCAATTTTTCTATTTTTGGTTGTCCCATAATAGTTGTCCCATTTCAAAAATCAATCAACTATTTTTATTAACATTCCCAATTTACCCCTCAAAGATAAAATACATGAAAGTGTCAAAATGGTGGACCCCATAAAAGGAATAAATTTAAAAACCAATGTAATAAAAGCTAGTGTCTTAAAATGTTTGAATTTTGAATGTAAACATCTATAATGGGAATAAATTACTTTCCATTAGAAAGGCCAATAATAAATTTCAGTTGCATCCAAGTGATCTGATGAATAAAACATAAGGCCCGTGAATTTTTATTTTTATTTTTTAAGATCCATGAAATGACTGTACCACATAATGGTGTGGTCTATACTCTCTATCATATCATCATACAGATATTAGTTAGCACTGTAACTATCAATTACTTCTTCATAAAATGTTGATTACTTTTATCATAGAGTTGGTTCCCAAATTTCAATGAAAGGGACTTTGGAAGTAACAGAAACATAAATGCCGCCAGTACTAGGGTATCATATCAATGAACCATTCAGATGAAGTATATGATCCCTAGCCATACCAGATACCACCTCTGTAAATAGCAAAAGAAACTATCTTCCATTTATCTTAGAAAATTATGGATTCACCGAAAGCATCAATCCTCTAAAGTAGCAAGTTTAATTTATTTTAGAAAATTATGATGTCCGTTTTGCAAAGCCATTACAGCATCTAATTTTACCTTCTGCAAAACCAAGCAGTGTCGATACTGTTGACGGCATTCTCATACAAACAATCGTGGAGTGTTACTGCACTGAAATAACACCTCACTGAATACACTGAAAATAAAATTCAATAAGAAGATCAATGCCATGTGAGTTGGCAGTGACAACGCGCGAGAAACACAAAAAGATAGTATGTTCAATGCAACAAAGGTTAGCATGGCTAAGGAGAGCCATTCCTGAGGGCAGAATTGTAAACAGCATCACCATCAGCCTATGTGGTATCCAAAATCAAGCCATGGCCTTCTTCTTTTCTTCCTCAAGCTGCTGTAGCTCTGCTAGCCTTTGAGCCCATGCTCTTTCCCTTGCCACTGCGGCCATCTTGCGCTCTACCCTTTTGATCATTTTCTTCCTTTTTGCTTCTTGCACCTGAGATTTTCGTTTCTTTGCTTCTGACTGTGCATAGTCAAACCCAATTCACATGAAAAATTTTAAAAAAAAATTGCATTATATCCACTATCCAGAAGCATACATTTAGAAATGAAAATCTAAGGGCAAGATATTAGCCTGAGCGTTCAGAAATGAACTAAAATAAACTCTCAAAATAGTATAGGAAAATTTACACCAAAAGAAAATTTAGAGAAAAATAAATTTGATCCAAGAATGTCCAGAACAAAACAAAACCCCCAAAAGATTGTTATGAACTAGTCCACAAGAGGAAAAATATTTCAAGTTCCTCAGAGAAGCATGCAACTAAAAAGAGAAATATGATTGAAATATCAACAAAAACCTATATGCACCCAACAAGGATTCATGATTTTTGTAGTCTACCCCAAGCAAGACAATTTTGTAGCTACGCATTCTGGTGTTCTGCCCAAGAGACTGTGCACAATTGACAGCCTACAACTAAAAAAGGGCACAGGACCATTAGACCCAACTAATTTTGGGCCGCTACCAACATCCAACTCTTAATTTTTTTTGTTTGGTCAATTTTCATTGTCTCTCCTGACCATCATGACCTGCATTTCTGTCAGTCATCCTTTCTTGCTTGAGCAACCAACTTCAATTTTAAACACTCCTTCCAATGGATTCTTTAATTAGAAAACATATCAAGCCATCTTAAATAACATTGTTCTTATTATCTTCAACTGCTACTTCTCTAACTTATCACAATGCATTATCTTTTTCCTAAACCTACAACATTTGACCAATGCATTATACAGACAAAAGTTTCAAATTTACTGATTTTTGTCAATTCTATAAATAATAAAAATAAGGATAAAGTACAGTGACACCCTCTGAGGCTTGGCATAAATATAGCCATATATAAGTTGGTCTATTTTTGGACAATAACACCCCTTTGTGAGATTTGAAAGCCAAACAAAGCCTAAAAACATGTGAAAAGCCTACTTTACCCTTCATTATTTAATTAATTTTAAGTATAAATATCAAAAAAATTAAATGACTGAATTACCCTTCTCCTCTCTCTCCTATATATATATATATATATATATATATTTTCCTAGTTGGTCCTCACACACACTTGTCTCTTCTAAGACTTGAACCCCTAACCTCCCTTTGGGAAGTAAGAGGCCGATACCGCTAGGCCACTCGCCCGTTGGTATATATATATATATATAAACCCATATTAATATATACATACATATATATATACACGTATAACGCATCTCTTCATATATATATATATATATATTTATCTTCCGCAACTCTGTTCACACCATGCTTTTGATGCACTTGGTGTCATCGTCGTAGAAGCGGAGGCAGAGGACGGTGCGATAGGAGGAGAGCTCGGAGACGGCGCACCGGGAAGAGAGCTTTCCCCGCCGATCCAGATGAGTTCAACAGTGCCGTTCACCGCCGCCTGGCACACGGGGATTTCGAGGGACAGTAAAATCACCAATTTCTCGAATCTCGAATCTCTCCACATAATCACCAGTAGCTGTTCTAGAATCTCTCTCTCTCAATCACCAATTTCACAGTCATTATTGCCTACTGTTTGGAGGAAGAACGGCCGCGGCAGCGATCGGTAGCGCAAAGCCCAAGGTCTCGACGGTGCTACTCTGGCTAGGGCTCCGCGTGGTTGCTATTGACAGCGGCGGCTAGGGCGACGGTTGTTTTGTTGTCGGCAGAGGCGATGAATTCGGAAGGCGTCGTAGGCACGCGCCACCTCCTCGGCCATGTCAAAGGTGCCTATCCATTCGCCAGTTTTTTCGATTGTCTTCCATTAGGTGGTGGTGATTAAAGAACGAGAATTGTGATTAATGGGGAAGGTTAGGTGGTGGTGGAACTTAGGGGCAGTAGGATTGTGCAGGCGGAGGGATGTGGTGGAGGTTACAGTGGTGAGTGAAGAGAGAGAGAGATAGAAGGGGTGTGCGGTGGTGGTCATGGGTGGGGATGGGGATGGCAGTTGTGACGCCGACACAGGTGGTGGTGGTGTCCGTCCGTATAGGGATTTGTTGGTGGGTTTGAAGGGAGAGGTGGTGGGTTGATTAGCGTATCAGTGGCTTGTTTGGGTTAGGGTTTGAGAGAGGAAAGAGAAGAAGAGGGTGAGGAGAGAGAGAATTTGGATTTCTCAAATGGGTTGTACCCGATAACCCATTTAAAGCTATTTGATTCAAGGGTATTTTAGTCAATTAAAAAAGGTTGTATTGCTTAAATTAATAATTTAATGTGTCCAAGGGTAATAAAGTCAATTTACCATTGTCAGGGTGTCTTTGTTAATTTTATCAAACCTGAGGGAGTGTCATTGTCCAAAAATAGGCCAACTTATATATGGTTGTCTTTATGCCAAAGCTTAGGAGGTGTCATTATACTTTACCCTAAAAATAATAATAATAATTTTGTATGGAATTAACAATACACTCAAGTACTCAACCCAACGTGACTTAATAAGAAGGGGAGATAATATTTCTTTTTCTTTTTCATTTTTTTTTTTTTTTTGGAAGGTTAACCAAACTCACACACTCATGCTTCCACTGAGGCTCGAACCTCCGACCTCCCTTTTGGAGAAGTGGGTATGTACCAGCTGGGCTATATTGCCCATTTGGTGGAGATCATATTTCTTGATTGCCCACATTCTGCAAAGTGCAAACATAACATGCCTAATAGTTCATTATTCTTTCGTAACTTGACAGTATTTGGATAATCATGTAACACTAAAAGATAACTCTTCCTCTTAACTGTCCTATCCAACTTCTATGGGCAATGCGATTTTCAGTTGCCCCTTCCCTTTGCATAATCAATCTAAGGTCACGAAAAAAGTCACATACAGATATCTTTAGATCATTATTGTTCATTGTTTCCTCATTTTAACTTTTAATTGAACTAAAGATACATCCATAGCCTAAAACTTTTAATTCTAGGATATTCCACCAAGTACCAAATAAATACTCACCTTCTACGTGGGCATCCAATCCTAATTCTGTGGGCAACATCATTTTCAATCGCTCCTTCCCCATCCATATCAATTTTTTAGTTGCACCTTTCACATGCATATCAATCCAATGTCACAAAAAAAAAGGTCACATTTGGTATTTCTTCATCATTTGCTTATTTTAAATCCAGTTTAATAAAGAATTGATGAGTTTAATTAAAGGAAATCAATATATATTTAATGGCAAAAAAAAAAAAAAAAAAAAAAAAAGCTAATCAATATATTTTGTCTCAGTCCTACTTAAGCCTTTGACTCCAATCAATACTCATTTTTCACCAAATTGTCAGCAAACAACAAAAATCATAAGACCTCCAATAACTAAAACAGCAAACTTTATCAGATTTATAAATGCTTGAAAAAATTAGCCAAATATATATATGCTTGAAAGAGTGAGTGAGCAACATATGTTTGGATAACTTAACATGCATTTGAGTGACATTGGTGTCTTAGTTTATCACTGTGAACATCTACAGCCCAATGAATAAAAATGGAGGATCCACCTAATGGATTATAAGCACATCCCACCTTCCCGCGAGAAAAAAACAGCAATATGCTTGCTGTATTGTCTAACAAATATGAGAGATAACACTAAAGTTCACTAAAACAAGCCAATGTACTCAAGCAGCAAACAGATTCCAATCAACTTTCTTGATCTAAGAAGTGAAGAGAAGGAAAGGATGATCAAAACAGTTATTGTAATAGAAAGTAAAGCAAGCTTATTAAGAAGGGGAAACAGATAACTGTCAAAAATGTGACACAAGCGAATAGAAAGGATACGATTGTTCATTCAACGATAGAATTTGACAATACAAATACCCTTCCTTGTGCACCCACTATATTCCTTCCTCCCAAGAGTGAAAAGAAAGGATAAGAGAAAGGAATCCCGATTTTTTTTTTGGTCCTCCCAATACCATTCTTCTAAAATGAAATATTATAGTCACTTTATTTTCTTCCACTGAATGTTCCTAGTTAATCAAACAAAGAAAGGAAAGACCCTTCCTTTTCATAGTGTTACATTCCCCGTCACTCCTACCTTCATTTCCTTCCAACATGGGTGCTTTGGTTTTGGTTTTTACATCCATAGGTTATGTCGGACCATGTTCTACTTCTGCCTCTAGTTCTTAGAATTATAACCAAGCTAAACCCAACTACATTAAATATATAGCACAAAATTCTTTGGAAATCAATAGGTCAATCAAACTTATGATTCTCTTTAGTCAACTCTAACATTCCTTCAGACTCAATTTTACCTTAAAAAAAAATTGACCAATTGAGCATACAGTGGTTAAGAGATGCATTCAACCTTACAATGGCTACACAAGATTGATCAGCTCAAGATTGACTGATTGAGCATACATATTTTGATACTTATGGTTCAATTACCAAAGTTCTACTCAAAAACAGGTTCCTCAGCTGAATGTTTGCTTCTTTTTTTCCTCATTCAACCTTGCATCTTCTTTAGCTTCAATAACTATCCTACAGACTCTAACTCAATGAATTGAATATAGCAATATAAAAGGTAAACAACAGTACAAACTTCTCAAAATGTGAAAATTGAAGGGAAACATGAAGGATTTAAGTGTATCCCACCAATATAAATGCACGCCGCTGCCTCCTACGCTTTCTCTCATTCCTGTTTTTGACACTGCCTTCATTCGGTTGGTTTGGAAGTATTGGCTGGCCAGGCACGTATTTAACCCAAGCATACGGTCCTGCAGATTCATAACAGCAATCAATTGTATTCAAACTTCACATTGTTGTATTCACTGAACACGAACAAATTGCCATTCATACAAAATCCAAATGATTAAGGACCGTTTCAATGCATTTCATAACATTATATTATCCTAAAGAGACGCTCTAAACCATCCTAAAACCCTAATTTAATAACAGAGATCAACCAAACATTCATGTGCAAAGAAATAAAGAACAAGAACACTCAAAACCCTAGTTTTGCCTATATACAAATGCACAAATTGAAAACAAAAATAATAATAAAGATTGAAGTGACGAACCAGGGGGTCTCAAGCTAGCCCTCTTTTTGCGAGGCTTAAGACTGGGCCGTCGCTTTGGGAATCTAGTGTCCGTTAAGCTGTGAAACGCGTTCGATGCCGGAATCCATGGAGTATGCCGATGAAGTGAGCCGAATAGGAGACGGACCTCCGGTGACGGAGACTGCGAAGTTGCCGAAAACGTCGCCGGAGAGAAAGCAAAGGTAGAACGGGAAGAAAATAGGGTTCTTGATACGGGTCGAATGATGGATCTTAGGGCTCCGAAACCCATAATTTCTTTGAGTGAGAGAGGCAGACTTTGAGGACTCCAATTGTTTCAAACGGAAAGAGAGAAGAAACAGTGAGTTGAATGCAAGGCCGGCCCTGAGATTTCAAATATTTTGAGAGGCCCTAGTTGAACTTTCAAATGTGAGGCCCTTGAGTTTCACACACTCAAAAAAAAAATTATAAGAGTGCGAAATTTTAACACGGTGTTTTCAAATTCTATAGCTAATTTAATTGTGCGTATGGGCATTATGCATTAGACAACTAACTAATAACTATAAATTTATCACCACCAACAAATAATTGTGCGCCTGTACAGTGTACATAAGACAACTAATTAATAAGTATAAATCTATCCCAACCAATAAATAATTGTGCGTCTGTGCAGTGTGCTTAAGACAACTAACTATAAATTTTTATCACCACCAAAAAATACTTGTGCGCCTGTGCAATTTGCATAAGACAACTAATTAATAACTATAAATCTATCATCGCCAATAAATAATTGTGCGCATGTGCAACGTGCATAAGACAGCTAACTAATAAGACTATATATATATATAACGCTGAACTTGTAGTACTGAAGAAGTAGTGGGACTTTTAGGTTATATGTGGCATCCACTATCATATATAGTTTTGTCTTTCACTCTTTATATTAACTACACTACACTTTGAGTGTGTTTTTTTTGGGAGCCAATTACCTGCAGTAATTGATTGATCATTGCTACAGAAGACCTGTGCAAATTAATAGAAAAAACCATTAACTTTTGTTTTGTTAAAGCCTGCTCTTGATTTCCGTGTGTTTGTACATTCTGATGCCAAGTGCTTTGACAGTATTATTAACTGAAATTCTAGCCGAGCCAACTTCATATAACATCAATAATGGTGGTATGTATCATATAAAAAAAAATAAATAAAAAAAAAAAAAAAACCCTTAGTTTGGCACTTTTAAGTATGAGCATAATTTAGAGATCGAAAAAGTTAATCATTACCTCAACCCACTAGAAGGGATCCTTAATTTTCGTGGGATTGAATGTGAAAATGCAAAAAAATTATGAGGAAAAGGGGTGTGCATGGTTGCTGCTGTTGTGAGATTGGAGTGGACTGAGGGAGAGGGAAAAAAAAAAAAAAGTACCTGCCATAGATTATGGACTCGATCACCATGAAAGACGCATGTAGAAGGCACACATTCATTAAAATACTAAGAGAACCATAATATATTCATTCAGCTTTTGATAGCCATCACACACAGTGACACACACAGAACCCTAGCTACTTTTCACTATTGGAACAAAGGTAAAGGCCCGAATCAAACGAACCAAAGTTAGAACAAATCAAATGATGAGATGTACGAAAGTAAGACTCATATATAAAAGATCGATTCATGCAAAAGGAGAGAGAAGAGAGAGAGGATGAACATACCTTGTCACCTGAGGCGATAGCTTAGGCTGCGCCCTGCGGAGTGTCGAAGTAGATTGTGTCGTCAGAAACTTGCCCTAACTTTTTTTTTTTTTTTTTTTTTGTTTTTCCATCCCCTTTGAGGCCTCTAAAATTTGAGCCCAATCCAACCAAGACTTGTCCTATATTTTTTTTTTTTTTTACATCCCCTCTAAATTTTGAGGCCCAAGGCGGTCGGCCGGCCTGGTTGAATGGCGAAGTAGAGGATAACGATGTTGCTAAAAGCGGCAACGTTTGGCAGTTTTTGTCATGATTACCAAATTCTAGATTATTGCATGGTTGTGTTATTTGTGTATGGTTTTTCCTACAATTTCCTGTGCTGTGACTCTTTTTATCACTTTCCATCAATTTCACCACTATAAGTCTATAATAGTAATATACTTGCTTTAAAATTGTAAAATTTTAAAATAATAAATTTATGGTGGTGATATATTAAAGTAAATGTGGTGAAATTGTGGAAAATTGTTACTAGTGAGGATTTGGTTTCGGATGCATACTTCATTTGATTACTTCTTCTTTTTTTCATTTATAATTTTTGTGTATTTGCATTATGTCTTGCATTACTTTATGTAAATAATTAATCACAAGCAATGAGTTAATCATATGTCCTCAACTTTTCCAAGCCGAAGTATGAAAGTTTTTACTTAATGTTGTGTTAAGTAAGAAAGAACAAAATTGGATAGAAGGATAGATGAGACATCTTATGGAAGAGACGGTGTATTTCATTCTTTTTGTTGGATTGGATAGAAGAAAAGAGAATAAACTAATAATTTAATATGTTAGTTAACAGGTAGGAAAGAGAAATTTTTAATTATTTTTACCATTTTATCCAATAATATATATAATATTGTAATTTATAGAGAATATGACTATAATTTAAAACTTGTATAGTTTACTATAGTATTAAATTAAAACTTTTATAATAGTTCACTTGTATTCCTTCATTTCTTCCGCCTATTTTTTGGTGGATGAAAATTTGCTAAAGATGAAGGATGGGTTATCATTCATATTCTCCTTTCTTTTTTTTTTGTATGATATCTACCGAACAACGGAAATTCCTTGAACAAATAAAATTTCTTCATTCCTTCCTTCCTATTTTCTATCCACACCTCTTCCTTCCTTCATTCCTACCAAAAACATCATAAAAAATGAGTAGATTTTGTTTTGTTGAATCGGAAAAAAAATTATGGAAAATTATATTTGCATGGTTTAACTAAAATGTAGTTTTACTCATAAATATGACCCTTTTTTTTTATGTTTTCTTAAATTAGAAGTATGGTGATGAATGTAACAACAAATATAAATTAAATATTATTAAAAAAAAAAAAAAACAGAATCTTTTGACTAAATTCACACAATTGTGAATTGCATAAACCACCCCTTATTTTTGGCATTATTTTGGTTTTCAAAAAAAAAAAATTAATTAATTAATTAAGGGGGTTGTTGCAAAATGCCACAAATCAATGGGTCAAATACAGTTTACACTTTCTATTTTTTGTAAAAGTAATTTATAGTCAATAGTTGTAATTGCATAGCTGGGATTGGGAACTCAACTTTAAAAAGCTATTTGTGTTGATGTTGAGATTATGGGCTGGTCGACCAACCAGTTCAGAAATAAGGATAAGGTCCACCATTATATGCCCTAAAAGCCAGGCCCAAACATTGCTGATGGTGATGGCTGAACAGATAGGAGCTATTTTGATGGCATACATACAGTGATTGGGCCAAAGCCTTACGATCAAACAGAAAAACAATGTCTCACCCAAACGTGCGTATATACGAATAACATTATATATAAAATAATGTGTATATACTATATTAACATTAAAATATATATACTTAATTAAATAAAATATATTAAATAAGAGATCTTATATGTATTAAAGTATATATTATATTATAACATTATAAATTAATACACACATTCTTATATAAACATAATATACATATATGATATCTATTATATAATATATTAGTCTTATATAAAATAAATACCAGATTATAAACAAATATTAAAATAATATTTTATTGTATATATCAAATTAAAATTTATTATATACTATTATTATATTGTAATTTTATATCTCATATTAAATTAAATTAATTATCATTACTTAATTTGTATAATACATTTTCATAAATAATCTACTACATTATATAAAATTTATAATATATAATATTTTAGATTTTAAATATTATTGATAATATACATAATATAAAGAAATTTTAATATTTAGGTTTGACCCTCCCCAAATCTTGCAATGGCTGGGGATCCATGTATTAGACTAATCAAAATAATAATAATTAATATTATAAATTCATAATTTATTGTATATAAATATATCATTAGTGATGTTTTGGATGTGTCAAATGCAGAAAATACCCTAATGTATACTTCCTGTAATACTTTCAACCCTTATTTGAAAAAGTATGCTAATACCCCTTATTCTTTTTATATTATGCAGAAACACTACTCAAATATAAATCTGACATAAGGTAATATTGTAATATCCATTTTGCCCTTTTACTTTTTCAAAAATGTCAAAAGGGGTGTGTATGCTAATAATCTCATATAAATTAAAGAGTGTTATGTGCCGCCTTTAAGATTTTTATCTCACCTTTCTAAAAAATATCTCTATATATTTTCCCTAATAGTCTATTATTCATTCTCTGAATCGAGAATTATATATTTTTTAGAACTTAATGTCATCCATAAGTTAGAAAGTTCTAATATATATGTGTATTTCTTTTATTGGTCAAATAGAGATGAAAAAAAACATCTCAAAAGAAAAAAAAAAATTTCTCACACTTGTCAGATTAATAGAAAATATATCACATGGAATCAAAACCTAAGTTCTTTTTATAATTATAAAAAAGAAAAAATTTATTCCTAATTAAAATTTCATACAGTTACCATTTTTTATTAAATATATAATTAAAAAAATTAAATTAAATATAATTATTCATTATATATATAATATACATTTAAATTTTCACAAATATATATATATATATAATTCTTTAAATAGAAAAAAAAAAAGGGGGGGTGTTCGAATTTAAAACAACCAACAGTTTTTAGGATAAAATGTATAAAACACCTCTATAGTATGTTTATAATGCATATTACACCCCTTGTATGCTAAATAACGTCATTTCGTTTTGTGTCCATTTTCATCATTTCATTAAATAAGCATTTTTAAACAATATATAAAATATATATATAAGGGTAATTTAGGCAAACTCAACCCGAAATGTATACCTATTTGCACAAATTAAAATTTCAAGAGTATTTTCTGCCCATAATAAGCTTTCTACACTTGACTCTGAAAAGAAGTGGTCCTCGGTCTGTTGGTAAAGTGAATTAGTGTTGCATGAACGTACATGAGTTGTGGCCTGTTGAATGGTCCCTTTTGAAATTAATGAGATCACAAACCGTAAGAAGGCAGCAACCGCCATGCAATGATATCTACTCGCAATGTTGTCTCACTTGCACAACACAAACAAAGCAGGCACTCATGCTCATCCATCATGTATACGTACAATTTTTTTACTAAACTGGAGTGTGCAACAACTTATATATATATATATATATATATATATAAAAGTTGTTGCACACTCCAGTTTATATATATATATATATATATATAATGGTTTCTCGTGCTTAGGTTTGGGTGTTAGTTACTTTCTTTATACAAGTTTATAAAGATTTGTGATCATATCAAGTTTTCCAATAACAAAACCAGGAAACAAAATTATACCAGCGGTGATTCGCCTGTCTTGTAAAGCGGGTCAGATGAGCTCACCCATGTATACTTAATGTGGTGAGAATTATGAGCTCTTCTACATATAGTCATAATCGTATAGATGCAGTGGTTTGGTCAACCGTTAATTTATAAGGGATTATTAGTGCTAATGATTCATATTTACTGGTATTTAACGGTGTTAAAGTCTCATACTTTTGAAAAAATAAAGTTGACCAAAATGTTGATGTAGATATGAAAAAATACTGTTTACCTTCCGGGGGGTACTCAATATAATTTGAAGCTTTAGGCAAAAAAAAAATCTTTAATATTTCAAAAAAATCTTTAATAGAATAAAAGTTCATTCAAAATCTTGTGACGGAGTTAGATTGTAAATTGTAGGAGTGGAGAAGATGAAAAAAAAATAATAATAATATAATGAGAGGAGAAAAAATATGTGAGGAATAAAATAAAATAAAATAATGAATATAGAAAGTTTCACGAGTCCCACCACAATGGATAATATTTATGATTGTTATAATGATAACGAGAAGTAATATATGTATATATGTTTGTATACGCTCATGTAATAAGGATGACATTTAAAAATAATAATAATAATATAAATATAGAAATATTTTGGGCCTAATATTGAATTTCTCTATTGATTGAGGTTTAATAATGGAAGAAAATAAGTTATTTAGGTAACTTACAATATATAAAGGAAAAAAAAAAAAAAAAAAAGTTTGGGGGCCTAGAAAAAAAAAAAATGGGGTAATAAACAATAGAAATATTTTAGATCACTATCAAATCCCTCTATTTGTTATTGTTTAATAATTAATATAATTATTTTAAGAAAGTTATATAATATATAAAGAAATGAAAAGTTATGAGGCCTTCTTATTAGCTTGGGCCTAAGTCATGATCGAGTCACCCTGTTTATCCTCACTTAGGTACCACTTTTAGATATATAGGTATTACTTTTTGTATATGGAGGCACCACTTTTTTTGCATCAGGTAACACTTTTATTTAGGACATATAGGTATCACTTTTATTTACATAGGTATCACTTTTCACATAGGTATCACTTTTTTTTGCTATATAAAAAGTGGTATCTAATGACAAAAAATGGTATCTAATGACAAAAAGTGATACCTGTATGCACAAAAAGTGATATCTGTATGCACAAAAAGTGATAC